ACTCTTTGTCCCCTCCCACTCTCAACCAAGAATGTGTTTGTCAATAATATATCCGAAAAAAAACTATAAAACGAAAGAATTATAACAAGTTCAATGCGCCTGATAAAAATCATCATTAAAATATTTAATCTCATTACATTGGTGTTATTGAACCCTGGGAAAGACCATCCATTGATAATCCTTCCTTTCTTATATATTATCTACAACATCACAGAAAATGCTTATTTCTTGGAGATAAGATTTGCAGAAACTTCATTGTTCCAAAGGGGAAAGTTATTTCAGAATTTTGCAACATTAAACACTTCAAGAAAGAAGGTTATGGAGGTATGAGATGAAATAGAGAGAGACTGAGAAAGAGAAAGAAAAAATAGAAGGATGGCAGTAGGGGGGGGGGGGGGGGGGAATGTGTGAAAAGTAAAGGGTCACCTCCTTTTCTCAAAGTTCCTTATACAATCCCTGAGGAATGCTCACATCTCCTCTCTCTGCCCCTCGTATTGTCTGGTTTTGTGTGGAAGGGCTCTTGGGGAGTGTTTACAAGTGAGCGTGTGTGTGTGTGTGCGTGTGTGTGTGTTATAGCACTAGGCTCTGTGTGGCATGTTTGTGTGGTGTGAATTTCTAAGCTTCTCATCCTTATCTTCCTCGCTCCCAGTCTTTTTTTTATGTTGCCTGTGTGTGTTTGGAGCAGTGTTGTATTTTGGCCCTGCGCCAAAATATTTGGAAATAACACAGTTACCAAAATGTACTGTCCATATATATTCCACCCTTTATCCAGTATCCAGTTATCTATGAACAGTCTAAAACTACTTACAGCAGAATGAGAGCTAGGTTGATAAGAAGGACTTTGGCAGTTTCCTTGCAATAGCTAAGGGAGCTAACTACATTTGAGAGCAGCTGTTAAGTCTTGAGCTGAGAAAAATCTTTATCCAAGGGCAGTTTTAATTCTCCTTTGCAGCATCTTGGGTAAGACTTGTTTGTTTTTTAAGTTATTGACTTCAGACCTTGAGATGAATGAACAATATATTTTCTTTTTCTTACATGTTCTAAGAGATTTCTAAGAGGACCTCTGCAATAAGACCATCTAAATATATTGTGTTCTCCAGTTTATTGTCAAATATTCATGCTCACATATGCTGTTTACAGCCTACAGCCATATGCTGGTTATGTATTATCTGAGAAAGTTTCTCATGGGTGGAGAGATTTAGAGATCATTACTTTCAAAATAGGCAAATTGTAGTCATTCCATATTGGTTTAATCTTTGTGATTGTCATTATACCTTGGGTTTAGTAAACATAATATATTCACTCCGAGGCAATGGGACGAGATTATGGCAATGTAAATATTTGTGATTGAAGAGTGGCAATGAGAGTGTTTGCCTGCTTTCCTTTGTGTATGTGCACATGTGGATGAGTCAAACATTCAAATGCATCAGTGCATATCAGAATTTTTCATATGGTAAAAGTGGATTTTTTTTGTTCCAGCTTAGGTTTCAATACATCCGGACTGCATACACACACACACATCCACAAGCAGTGCAACAAGTTAATATACATCATCTCACCACCACTGCAATAACACACAGGCTTGGTCTTGCAGTGTGAAAGTTCTCTTTTTTTTTAGTTGGCAGCTGTCTATATATCCCCCCCGCCCTTCCCTCCCCTCCCTTCCCTCCCTCCCCTCCCCTCCCCTCCCACTCCCCTCCACTACGTGATATTAAGTGCTGCTTTCAACTGCTCCCTGTTTAGCAACTTGGCAGCGTAGCAGCACATCCATCTCTCTGGAAATGTTTATCTACAAGCTGTTTACTCCACACACTCCTCCTTCTTACATACATGTGCAAGCACACATACACCGGTTCAAGTCGAGCCATGCAGACAAAAACTACAAAAAACACACTGCAGCGGACTTGTATTGACATGAGTGTAAACATGTGCATGCAAAGAATCACAAACACAAGTGTGAGGAGGCATATTTCCCTAATTTGGTCATGTGGATATTTTTTACATTCATATCAAATGCAAGAACAAACAAACACACACACACTCACACACACACACACACACACACAAGCACACGCACATGCACACGCACACACACATACACACGCACACACACATACACATACACATACACATACACATACACATACACATACACATACACATACACATACACATACACACACACATCGCATCACATACACATACACATACACACACACATCGCATCACATACACATACACACACACACACACACACACACATCACATGCACATACACACACACATCGCATCACATACACATACACATACACATACACATACACATACACATACACATACACATACACATACACACACACACACACACATCACATACACATGCACATACACACACACATACACATTAGAATCGGGAAGGAATGCTGATAGACGCTATGGGTGGATACGCTGACTGGACTACACATAAACAGCGCAAGATTTAGCCTCAAAGGCTGCACCCTCGCTTGTTAACACACTTTTACACACACTATATATACTATATTACATCCAGATATACACACAGTGCCCTACAAACAACATGCAAAACACACATGCTCTGTTATTGCATTCCACTTGTGAAATTAAGCCTGTTAGTGTAGCGCTCTGTTAGGCTGATAAGGCTTGATGTTCCTTCCAAGAATAGGGAGAGAGGGTGAGAGACATGAGTTACAGCAGGTCGAGGGAGGCTGCGGAGATCAAGGCAAAGTTGAAAAAAGACCAGTCAACTTTACTGAGCGGGTGAGCGATGAGAGAGAGATTACAGGAAGACAGAGGAAGCACAGATGCTGGGTCTGTACGAAGGACTTATTTGTCAGATCTACTCCAGATTTGCACATTTTGAAGAGCTGAGAGGGAAACTCCAGTTGGAAGCTTTGGTTACAGCAGGTAGTTGGAAAAAAAATTTGATGGTGGTGTGAGTTTTTTTTTTGGATCAAATCAAATACTGTTCTTTAAAGGCCTAATTTATCTGATGGTCGTAGTTTTGCACATAATTTCCATCAATATTACATTACCCTATAGATATATAAAAGGTGATTTGTGAAAATTTTACAAAGACTGTTAGTTGTAAAAGTCCACCGTCTGCTGTTTTGACTCTTTTGTATTGCATTATTACAATTGTGCAGGTGCAATTCATCTGTACACCACGGCATAATTAAAGACATTAATGGGCTCTCAGTTTCAATTTACTAACAAATGATGCAGGTAGGATAATCTGGTTGAACTGCTTGCTTTTTTTACGACCTGTAGGGCACCATTTTATTATAACCAATTAAAAAGGATGTCCAGGGGCCCCACAAAGTCTGGAGTTATGGGAAGGTTTAAAAAAGAAACAACTTCATCCAATAAACTGCTGGATGTCATCATACAGTCAGAAATGTTTTTCTAGTAAAAGGAGGGTCATATTCTGTTAAGAATAAAGAAAACGTTACCAATTAAGCACCATGTCTGTTTGTTTCCTGATAAAGAGCACATGGCCCAAATTGTGTCCTTTTAAATTACAGCTTTTACACCATCAATGCAAATAACATGTGTGCAGAGTAATATGTGAAGTATTTGAGATCAGTTGATGACTAAAAGGCATGTCAATATTAAATGAAGAAGCATAATCTCAGATCTTATGAAAGAGATTCACCTGCATTAACACCTTGAAACGATCAGGATGACCATTATCAGTCACCTCTTTACTGTGTAGAGGATTTGAACTGTGCTGCGGTTTTCAAGCCAACTCAAACATTTTAGCATTCATTCAATGTTGTAAACACTTGTTTGTATTTTATTTTGTCCAGCTGACACAATAAACAAACTTCTTCCTAAGTTAACACAGTAAATTATTACATATAACTCCAGGCTCTTGTATTAGCCCAAATACCCAAGACGTGTGGGTGTGAGTGTGTGTGTGTGTGTGTGTGTGTGTGTGTGTGTGTGTGCGTGCGTGTGTGCGTGCGTGCGTGCTTGCTTCCGGCTGTGGTAGGCTGCAGAAGGCAACAGATTGTCACTAAATCATTAAATACAACTTCAGGAGTAGAAAGGCAGCACTGTCGTTCTCCTTTTTTTCCCCTCCAGTCAATCAGACATGGGCCTAAGGCAAACAAACACTTACACAAACACACACACACACACACACACACACACACACACACACACACACACACACAAACACACACACACACACAAACACACACACACACACACACACACACACACACACACACACTAACAAATGCACACACAACACTAACCGTAAATTACAGGGAGGAAGCAAATCATTCTCCCATGCTCCTCTCAATGACTCAACATTTAGTTCATTCTATGTTGCGCTCTGCAAATTAAAGTGTGCACAAAAGGCTTTTAAATGTTGGCATACATTGTATTGTGTTACAAAATGATGTAGCATTGATGCCAAAGCTTTCTGGTATAATCATCAATTATGCCACTGGTATTTTGCACGTGTGTCCGAGTTGTGGTATCTGTGGAGGCTGCAAGGCCATGGATGTTTAATCAATGTAAGAGTAAGATGTAAAACACTGCAAAGATAAAGTAACAAACTTGAACTATGCACGGATAATGATAAAAGTTGTGTGGCAAATAAATGAACGCTGAATAAAATCATATCCTTCACGGCACAGCTGCATCCACCACCCACAAAACATTAAAGTCCCAGGCTAGGAATGCTATACTGAGCACATAATTTATGGTTAGAGCTACGGGTTGAGGGTTGGACTTCCAGGCTGAATTGCCTTTTATAGCTAACAATTTTTATAATTGATCATGTTGGAACATTTGATATCCTTAAAGAACCATGGATCCCATTCAGGGGTCAGTCTGTAGCTTCAGGAAATACACCAGTTCAAATTATAAATTATGTTACGTCTCTTAGATTTCAAGAATAACTCCAACTTTAGAGTGTCCTTCTTCCTGATTGAAACTTACCTCACAATCTCTTTTCGTCGGCTGTTTAGGTGGAGATATCTGACAGCACCTTCCACACCATAACCGATGCCTATGCTGGGAAGGAGTACATCATCCAGGTGAAGTTTCTGGTTTTGCAAGTTTGGTTCTAAATGAGCTTATCAAAATATGTTACATGGAGGGCTACATTTGAACCCCCCTGTCTTAATCAACACCTAATTCTATCTAACATAGATTTTGAATTTAATAGATTGAATCTGGTATCAATTAACCAGATTTATTTTGGTGTTTCAAAGGTGGCTGCAAAGGACACAGAGATTGGAACATGGAGTGACTGGAGTGTGGCTGTCCATGCTACACCCTGGATTGAAGATCCTCTGCCAATCACTTCAACAACTGAAGTGGACTTTCCTACTGGTAGGTCAAAGCCTCAATTAAAGTCTGTACTTTTTATTTTTGCCTAAGGGTTGCTATTAAAGTCGGTGAGTTAGCCCAGCTACATATTTTTAGAGCCTAAAATAAATGCAAAGAAAGTTATTACTCTTGGAACCAGAACTGTCAGAGCTGAACATTCAGATTTCTGGAAACAGCATTCAATCCTCACTGCCAATGTTACAAAGAACTTTTTCTTTTTTTTTTAGTTGGACTCTCTGGGATAAAGTTTTTTTAATGCATATGAGATACTGTATCTACTTACAAAATCACCCTGCTTCAGTCCAAAAATATTGGGAAGAAAAGGCTGACAGACAGATTTGCCCTCCGTTCACATTGCAAAATTATGATAAAAATAGAAATACAACGAGGTATGGTGAAACAAAAACATTAGGCAACAGCCTTTCTTACAGATCTGCTGGGCTGTATTTTCAGAACAGTGGTACTAGCATTCTAAAAAATGACAATGCTAAAATGCTTATGCTAAGCAGGTGATATTTGAAACAGGTTGACCATTTTACTTTAGTGGGCTTGAATTTAAAAAACTAAATCGCAAATGAGTGCTGAAGACAAAATCTTTTACAGGTTTTTGGTCATAGATGTTGATATATATATATATATATTGCATATATATATGCATATATATATATATTGATGGTGGTTCTAGATGAATGTTCAAATGTGCATGACTAGATGTGATATATGGAGGAGATAATGTAGTGAACAATATTTAACAAAATCCCCGGCTTGTGACATCATCAGCAGAATTGATCATTTTGCTTTATACATGTTCGTACAAAGAGGTCAATATGAAGCTGGATTGACAAAAGACTGTAATAGTGGGACTTTATGTATCAATTCTTTAATGCTGGTTGGTTTTTGTCAGTCCCAATGTCCATCAGATGGAAAAATCACTGTGATGATAATATAGGATTCCTATAATGTTTTTACCATTGTTCATCGTGCCTGCGGCCTGAACCACTTAGGTATGAAATTAAGTTTAGTTAATAACTTTCTTTATCATTAAATTGAGTACACTGTAAGCGTTTGATAGCCTTGAACTTTTATCACAGCTTGAGCATGAGATCCAGCAGCCTCAAGACAAATCGTCTCACATCAACCTGAGCTCCTGAACATCGCCTCAGGGAAAACATCTTTTTAAAAACGCTCACGTCTCTCCTACAAGCTCAGATTGGCTCACTTACACTGCAACAACACCTACGTTTTCTACCATTTTGTATGCATGAGAAATGGTAATCTTACTTAAATTCATTGTAGATTGTTTTATTTTCAGTGTTTCCTGAGACACACCACACTCACACACATTCACACACACTCACACACTCATGCACACTCACACACACTCATGCACACTCACACACACTCACACACTCATGCACAAGCATACACTCAAAACCACACAAACACAAAAGCTATCTCTGGGAGTTATCTAGTTGGCACCCCTTCAGCATGTGGCAGAGATCAAGGGCGCCTCGCTTGTCAAATCGAAATCTCTCAACGCACTGATGATCTCTGAAAAATAAGACATCCATTCCAAGCCTGAACACTCTTCTGTGCATGTCTCTCTGACCACTCTGGAATAGTAAACCCCGAATGGAAGGACATACTTTGAATAAATAAACACTGAAAATAGACTGACACTTTTTAAAGTCAATTCCACTCATTTGCACTTTCTAAATTGCAATCCTGCTGTGATCTTGCAAATATGGGAGTGTTCATGCATAGCGTCAGCAGCTTCATATATCAGGCTGATGAATACTTTGGGGTAATATTTGAAACAGTAGGAAGTATTTTACTGAAAAATACTGTTTATGAAGATTCAGTTCATGAACAACATTGGATTTAACTTTAAGGTCTGTGTAATGATCTTAGGATTGCTGTTAGCTCTACTCTTCCATGAGCCAATCTAACAGTGAATTAATGTGACCTCACCCTAAGTTCACTTCTTCATCAAAAAGCAGAGATCTTCAAGTAGTAGAAGTTAGAAAAACTAGATGGCTCTCTCCATTTTGTGAAGAGGTCAAACCTTTTAGAAGACCAGAATCTTAAAATGTCTCACACGTTCTCATTGATGCAGCTCTTGTCTGTAATATGTATTTTGCTAGGGAAGAGACAAATCATCTGTGGAGAAATAATTCTTAGGTCAAATATCAATTTGACCACTTCTTGTCAGACTTCAAGATCTGTCCAAATGTTTTAAATCCCTTCTGACTTGCTATTGACAGAGTACAGCCCCAAATCTAAGATATGACTTCAAAACGGAGACAGTCCACATTTTGATTTCTTTTCATGTTCATGTTCTTCTTTACATTTTATTTACATCTATTCTACATGGTATTATTGTAGGCCACCTCATGAAACACTTTGTTACTCAGGCACCCAAGTGGATCTGGTGTCCAAATTGTCAATTGATTAATGAAAAGGAAGCCTTAAAATGGATCTAAACATTTTGTTGATGAATGTTTAACATAATAGTAATAATTGGTCATATACAGAAGAGCAGATTAACAACAAACAAACAAGTTGCCTTTTTAAAAAATTCAGAATTTACAAACTTCTTTTGGCCTTTTCTTTGGATTTTGCCTAAAATGCTAAATAAAGGCTGACATCACCCTTTAACTAAATGTTGTGTTGTTGTACTTGTACATCCACTGATCAGAGATGAAAAAACATCTAGCCTTGCCTCTATTTGTTTCTACATTCCTGTGTTTTTACAATCCTCTCCTAACATCAGACCTCTATCTAAGTGTGAAATGTGATCACTGCATGTCCACAAAGTAAAAGTAACTTGAGTATGGGCTGTTTTTTTTAATCAACTATGCGACACCACTTCACATCAGATAGCTAGATAGGAGGCAAAGTTGGAAAAAACTCATTCAAAATCATAACTTACTTAAAATCTGAACCTCATTTGAAATCCTCTGTAGACCTGTCCTCCTTTGTCTTTTTACCTGATCACTGATGTGTCTTAACTGTTTTTAAGGTACAACAGTGACTCCTATGTGTCAGAAGGAGTACTGCACACATGATAAGCACACAGTGAAATAATTCATGCATGCAGAGAAACATACAACACACACGCTAAACAGCTCACACAGAACATGAAGGCTGCTTTAACATTTCCACACACACACACACACACACACACACACACACACACACACACACACACACACACACACACACACACACAAACAAGTGAAACACGCTATCACTGAGTCAGTACCCATTGTATTTTTCTTGTTCTCAGGAAAAGAACAGGAGGTTATTGGGATTCTCCTCATGCATCCTCTCGATCCAGCTGCGGCTTCTCCCCTTCCCTTCCCTCTCTGCTTGTCCTGTTCTGTCCTTCCATCTCATTCTCTCTTTAACCCGCAGGTCTCTCTTTCACCTTTTCAGTCTCTGTCCTTTCCATTTCCTCTGACTTCTCTCTCTATTGATCCATCACTCTTTCTCTTACTCTAACTTTGTCACCTCACCCTTTGTGTCTATCTCTTTTCTGGCCTATACAGATGTACAACTGTTTTGTTGTTAGTATCAGTTTTCAGGGACTTTGGGGTTTACTGCACTAACCATTACTGAGAACACAGTTTGTCAGTGTGATTTTGTCAACCTGATCCAGACAGATGAGGAGAAGAGGAAGAAACAATGCGGAAAAAAGCAATTTTTTGGCGCATTTTCAATGTAATACAAACAATCTTTTGAAAATTGTTTGAAAAATAAAATGTCTAAAAAATGGATTTCTTAGTTGAGGTGAAAAAGTCGTATACTGAAAGGAAAGATAGAATACAGTCTAACGGAGATGTTGATGAATTTTTAAAGTTATTTTGGGGCCTTTTTGCCTTTATGAGATAGGAGAGCTGAAGAGAGACAGGAAATGGTTTGAGTAGAGAGAGGTGGATGACATGCAGCAAAGGGCCCCTGCTACAAGGGCTGTACCACATAACTGATAGACCATTGGCGCTCCCACAGAGATCTACATTTAAGACACTCATGTCATAGTTAACAAGGAATCCTTGTATACAAATGTTACATGCAACCTCTTTACCAGGAAGTCTAATCCTTAAGGATAAATAGAGCTGCGATATCAGCAGATAACTTTTACATTATTTGTTCATGGGCAAACATCTGCTCTAGTTCTTTGTTTGAATATCTGGTGCTCCATTTACTTTGTAATGATCTGCCCCTTAAATATGTTTTGCTTAAAAGCTAGTTGATTGAAACATACAGGCTTTTGAATTAGATGAAAAAATACAAATCAATGAAGATATATTTTAGTTTGCACTCAACAAATAAAACAATTATATGTGAGGCAGAATCACGTCAGCAGAGAATCAGGGAACAAAACTGATTTCTTGGATCTGGCTGATAAACACAAACAGTCCAGTCAGGGCCAACTTCTTCCACCTGACCAGCTTGTTAACATCACCACAGGGACCAATATTCCCTGGTCACTCAGCCGAATAGGAAATGAACAGACTTCCTGTGACTTATTGATTGTGTGGCTAACAGTCCTTTAACACAGGTACACATTCTTTATTTTCTCCTGTCATCCTGCCACATCGCCTCTTCCTCATCTTTTTTGTTAATTTGTTTTCTCTGTTCATATATCAGTAACAGCAGTTCGCCTATACCCAAAGGAGGTAAACAAAAATAGCTGTTTGTAGTTCAATGTCTGTTCTGTGTCCTGGCATCAACAACCTCATTTCACATCAAGTGGATAACACAGTGACAGACGGACGACTGTTCGAAATCCCATCCTCAGTGATAGGACTATTGCTTAGCAACCACATTCCAGGAAGTAAAAAGTAGATCAGTTGAGGCTTTAAAAAGTTGCCACCACCTCAAATGTTGCAATCATCACAGATATAAGTATCAGCCTCACCCACTTTGTGAGACAGAAAGTGGATACTGTCTAGCACCAAACTAGATATCACTTCTTATATTCTCCATGTCTACAACTATTTATAAGTGCTAAGTGGCTCGTTCAGGTCACCGTCTCTGCTGAGCTGTGTTAAAGGTCCTGCCTCTGTTGTGTGGTGGATCTGATCCATCGGGTGTTATTTTTTCATTAAGATGTGGAGTGTTGAATTGTTGGTGATATTTTAGACATTTAGGGTTTTAAATTAAAGTCATTAGTTCTCCATAAAAAGTTTGAGGTGCGGGGCGCTGATGGACTAGCAGTTAGGTCTTGCTCCATGTACGGAGTCTTTCAAGCAGGTGGCCTAGATTCAATTCAGACTCTTAGCTCCTTTCCTGCGTATTATTCCCTGCTCTCTCCTCGATTTCATTATCTATCCGTTGTACCCTCAAATGAAGGCAATTAAAAACCAAATTACATTTTAAAAAGCATTATGGGTAGGAGTATTTTGTTATATCTAATTAGAATTTCATTTTTTTTTCAGAAAAAGTAAAATCCAACTCTTTGTACATAAAAGTGCAAGGATAGAATCTGGCAATGACTCTCTAAATCAGACATCTATTTTGCATTTAGTTAGCAAGCACTGTCAGCTGCAGACTGAATCTTAGTTTTACATTTTATAGACCTTCTTCAATGCATCCATTATGTAAAATCAGTTCATGTTTTTTATTCTTTGGGTACATTACGCTAAATGTTTGCCATCCTGTGCTTTTTTTTTAAAGTTCTTGACCTGTGAACTTCTGCTGTACGTCTTTTACAGTCCTGTCATTTGATGCATGTTTATAAAACACCTTCAATATATTTTATTTATTCAACAACTTAATATTTATCTGTGCTTTGAAACTTGAAAATTGAATTTTTAGTAGTGTAGTAGCTCCTCTAGCTTTCCTGTGCTTTTGAGATGTCGTCTTTGAATGACAATGATGGCAACAACATGTCTTAAATTTAAGCTTCAGAGCTTACATTCAATTAAAATATCCTAAAGACTCCAAAAGAAGAACAAATGAGCAGGCAGGGGAGTTGAAGTTCAAGTCATTCAGTGTATTGAACCGTATTACTTCCCCTTCCTCTTCCCCTTCCTCTTCCCCTTCCCCTTCCCCTTCCCCTTCCCCTTCCCCTTGTGCATATTTTTTCCAGACATCCAAATGTTTTAGATTTCCCCTCACTTCTCCCTCTGCATGCTCTTTTCCTTTCCCGCTCCTTAACATGATTTTCTTCGCTGCTCTCGTTTCTATCACTCCTCTTTCCTCCTGACATCATTGTCTTGTCACCCCGTCTTTACTCGTCCCCCAACTAGCTTTTAACATGAACATGGCATCCAATAACTGTCTCTTGTCATCACCATCACATTATTCCTGCATAATTTTTATTTTCTCCACGTCTCCAAAGCAAAATGTTTTGGGGTTTTTTTCTGCAGGAGGGATGTGTTGCACTTGAGATGCTGATCAAGTTAAACGTGTTGTAGTTCTCCCTCTCTCTCTCTCTCTCTCTCTCTCTCCCTCTCCCTCTAGCTATTTCACACCTGGCTGCTTTCTCCTAATATCTCCCCACTCCCAACACTGTGCTGCTGCGCAGTCATTAATTGAAAGGAGAGTGAAATCATATTCTCACTCCGGTTATAGAAAAAGAAAATCCAGTTGCTTGTCGACTAAGCTGAATACAGTGTGCACAAGTTAATATCTACCGCGCTGCCTGCAGCTGTAGCAATAGCCCCGTTTTATAAAACATTAAACTGTGATATTTTTATTTGTCAGGCGATGTTAAACCACACTGAAGTACTAGAAACAGCATAAGGAAGAGCACATTGTAATTTTCAGCATATTTATGTTAGCCGCAAGCTTTGTGGAGCCAACCTCATAAACTTGAACATGATTGTATCCACAGAATATGAATGCGAGTAGAACTTTTTTACTCTTTCTTTAATTTTATCTGCACTTGAAAAGCAGTTCTATCCAAAAGTCTCACCGTATAAAATAGGGAAATATTTCATTTATTTTTGGGGAGCATTTAAGGACAAAGTTTCAGGTCTGTTGGGTTTACACACTAAGTCAAGTCTCAAGACAAAAGAGCGTTAGCTAGACCCCAACTCATCCTTAATTTCTTTAATGATAAATGTTTTTATATGTTTTCTGTTCTAACGAGTCAAAATTTAAGAATTAATGTTTTTGCCTCTAGGGTCAGTTTTTGTGAAATCTTCATTATGCCATGTTTTTGTGCAGTGCAATAAGTCAGTCTAAAGTAATGATTGTGACTTACATTAGACTATGACAATGTTAAAAAATAATGTTTTAAGTTTTTATTATCAGTCAAAAATGATGGGTATATTCTAAAAGTTTGAGGATTTTTATCGACTGTCACAATTCATATTTTGACTCAACCTCTCTCCATACGGTTTCTGGATCTCTACCTCCTCCTCACTCTTTTTTTCTTCATCTCCATGTCTTTTTGGCTCCATCTCTTCCCCCCCGTCTGCCTACGTTTCCCTGCGGCTCCAGAATGAAGAGATTTCTTTGTCCAGTTCACTTCATAACTGCCTTGATAAGTCCTGTATTGATTGTGCTTGCTGATTAGAATTGATTCCACTCTGCACTGTGTTTTCCTTTCTGCTGGCTGCTTCCTTGTATGATGAACACTTTTCGGCGGCCATTCATCAGAGCGACATTTTGGATGCTCCATCATCCCTTAGGGACAAACGATTGTGCAACACAGCAAGAAAAAAAAACTGAAGTAAAATGTGATGCTAGGGTTCTATTATAAAAAAAATATGCTCAGTAAGGTTTATTGTGTTTTTTGATTGTTTTCCAGAAACAAAGACCTCCCCCATACCATCCTCCAACGCACCACAAAAAGCTGAACCTCCAGTCGGCAGAGCTGCAAGACTCCTCACATTTTTCTCCCCTTTGCTGTTAGGAATGCTGCTGCTGTTCATGTGGTGAGCAAACACACACACACTCACACACACACACACTCACAAAACACTTATAATGAGTCTACCAGCCCTCATCTTTGAATTGATTATGAGCTCAGCCATTCAGTCACATATTGGCAAGTCCATGCATGTCTATTGATGTCAAGAGCAGGTTTAATATAACAAGAGCAACAACGATTGGGTGAGTTTGTTTTATGACCCAGCGGGGAGTCTTTCTTCATATTTCTCTGCAGAACCCCTGAAGGGTTTGGGGTAAAATCCAATTCAAAGCTGTCCCATCCCATTAATTTTATAGTTCTACAGTGTAAATCATGTTGTAAAAGTATGTGTGCTGTCGAGAAAGAAGATGTCCAACAATGAATACTGAAAAGCTGAATGTCAGAGCAAACCTGACTGCAACATGTGAAAACGGGGAATGGTTTTTGCACCTTTTTCAAGCAAAGAAGAAACAATGACAAACAACACACACGATAAAAGCTCTTAAGCCAAATTACATTAAACACTGATGTATATCCAACTAGACACCTGCTGCTCATTTTAACCACTGGAGACTGAGTGTAGCTCCTTCCCTTAGTCTATTTTACTTTAATACACATCATCATATCTCCAGATAATGAAAGACATTTTTGGTAATATAGATATTTTCAAATAACATTTAAATGTGAACACACCAACAGACAGTATTGCATGGAAGTGCCCTATTGTCGTTAATTGGAGAACTCCCATTAAATTAAGTAATTTTAAGAATTACAATAAAAAAACACAAGATAATAAAATACCATGTATAGTTCAAGCTTAAACTAATGCCACAACAAAGATGAATCTCTCTTAACTTCTAAAAAAGTTGAAATCAATTTACTGCTTGGGAAATCTACATTTGTGTATCTGAACATGGTCCTGTCGTCTTCAAATGACTCAGCCTTCAGGACAGGATTAAAAAAACGTTTCACCTTCACTAACGTCAGCTGTAGAACACGGCTTATACAGACGTTTTTGTCCGTAGTTGTGAATCAGGGTGGTTGGTTGTCTGTCTCTGGATTGACTGGGGGAACAGTCCTGGGTGTACCCCGCCTCTCGTCCAATGGGAGCTGGGATCGGCTCCAGCCCCCTGCAATCCCAAACGGGAAAAAGCATTGATGTTGGATTGATGGATGGATAATATGTAGATTGTAAGGGAATAAGTACATTCCAATAAAACGTTGGGACTTTTGCAACATTAAAAGACAGAAATAATTGGAGCATCGGATGGCCTGGCGGTTGTGCCGAGCTATGGTTCTTGTTGCAACGGCCATGGGTTCAAGTCCGCCCTTTGCTGCATGTCATCTCTCTCCTCCTAGTGCTTCCTGTTTCTCTTTAGCTTTCCTATCCATTAAAGGCGAAAAATAGCCCCAAAAAATGTCTTTAAAAAAAGATAGAAAGAATTGATTGTTTGATGCGATGCCTATATAATTTGTGCTTCTGTCTCCTTCTCCAGATGTAAATGTCGTATTCCTGAAGGGAGTGGGAGGAAGAGGAGGAGGGGGAGAGGCTATTCTTTCTATTTTGCACATGTTTCAAGGATACAGTGCATTGATCATATCTGTCCATCATGCCGTTTACTCACCAAGATTACTTAGACATGAAATCAGACGATGATAATGCCATCGAGCATTTTTTGATTATTGGTGACAGAGAAATTCTTCAGAGGAACTTTTGGAAACGCCATCATCATGAACATCATGATCATCATCATCCAGAACAACAAACACAGCAGCAACAGGAGCAACAACAAGAAGCGAGTAGTGTGCAGTAAAGGCAGACTTAGAATACCCCCTGGTGGTTCTGATGGGCCACAGCAGACTTTGTTTGGCAGACAACAGTTTGGGAATCTCCTCTTCAGAAATAAGAAAATCAACTCCTGCGATGACGGAAAAAAAATCTCTCCATGACCTTTGTATTTTTTTTTTTATGATTAATTGCTAGTCTTAATTTTTGCTTTCTTCTGAATCTTAAGCACTGTACAGACAAACACACACACACACACATTAAAAGCATGTGCGTTTGTGTGTATAGTTACCGTAGCAGTCCCCATACAGCTAAATCATCATGCCAAAGACTCAACTTCACCCCCAACAAAGATTCCCAAACATTTCACTGAGCTTCCTGAACCTGAAGCCTGTGTCTGCCTTCATCGTGGGTTAAAAACTCCACAAAGTTGTGTGAGTGAGTGCGTATATAGTGTGTATGTGTGTGTGTGTGTGTGTGTGTGTGTGTGTGTGTGTGTGTGTGTGTGTGTGTGTGTGTGTGTGTGTGTGTGTGTGTGTGTGTGTGTGTGTGTGTGTGTGTGTGTTTGACACCTGATTGCCACCCAACTCACAAGGGATACAAATGAAACTTGGGATGGACCTGAGGAACCCTGCAGCTCCTGTTTGTGTAAAAGATTAAACAAAGAGGCCACAGAAATACTCAATCTGACTGAATCTGTCAACTTGGATGACTGAAAGAAACAGACGGAGCGAGTCAAGGTTTTTTTTTTGGATATAAGGACTAACACTTTGAAGAATTCAGTAACCATAGTCTGGCTTATTTAGACAGTTAGCTTTACACTGCTTTCAGCAACTGGCAAGGAAGACCTGGATTGTACAAATAATAATAATAAAGTGGAATTGAGACTGAACATTTCTTTTCCCACATATTTTTTTTGTTTCCACTTTGGAATTAGGGTGACAGAGTTGGTTATCATAAATTGATACAAGCTTTGTTGGGTTTTTCTTTTCATTCTGTTCCGTGCTGTAAAATACAATAACACAAACAGTTTGCTTTCTAAAGCCTTTAAGAAACATTTAAAAAAAATGTCTTTTTGCAGTTTACATTTCAATAGCCAATATCACAAGTTAATATTATGTTATTCAAAGGAATTTTGATGTGTCTTATTGTTTGTTTTTGTTTTTTATTTTATGGACAAGTAATAAAAACACATAGAGGATTTTAGTTTTTTTTTTTCTCAGACATTCATAATGGCTTAATTCTCCTTGATCCTATTTTGTAAACTATGATATGTAACTTTAACATTGAACAAAAGGTTTATTATTTAATAATAATAATAATAATGTATGTATTAGCAGTAGAATGTCGTAACCTGTACCTGGGGTCTTTTTTATAGATGTATATACAATGACAGGTTTCAACCATTAAATGTGACCATTTCACAATGAATGATGACATGCTGGCCTCTTACTCACTTCCTCACTTCTCTTCTAAACTGCTCATCTAAATCAGTTTCTCCTCAGAAATGAAACACTACATGGAGGCGGGTTGGCTTTAGATTGGGTAGAGGACATTCATTTTTTAAAGAGACAAGGAGTCACAGGTGCAATAACTTCCCAGTGTAATAACAGTGATGGCACATTGATTACTTCTCTGCCCTAAAACGAATCACCTTCTTTTCTAATTATGAAAATCAATACTTGTAAGCTTGAAGGGAATGTTAGCTTGTTTTTTCTTCTTGGGAAAGTATATTTACAGATCAAAATTAGCAATATTGGGCTTTTCATGGGTGACCAGAAGTGCTGATTCTAAATTTTGGGCTAAAGTGTAAGCATGATGCATCATTCTCTCTTGACTTCTTTGTTTCACTGTGACACCTAACATATATCTCCAGTAGGTATAACTACACATTCTTTTTTGTGTTGGCTCTTTTCAACTCATTTAATTATTCTTCAAACAATTTTCATTATATATGTGAGATGTAAAATGAAAAGCAAACATGAGCGTACAGTCGAAAACTGTTCTAAGAGTTAATTCAGTTTCTACCTTTAGGAAGAGCGGATGCTGTTCTTAGGCCCTGCTGAGCTTTGAGACAAATGTTTCAACAGTGTGATGGCATGCTTACAATAAGTGACAGGGTCAGGTGGTTGCACAGGAATTGGAATTGGGGGTTCAGTGCCTTTCGCAAGGGCACTTCGGCAGCACTCGGGAAGTAAACTGGCCCCTATCCAATATGTCCAAGATTCCACAAATGGTACCAGCTAGGACTTAAAAATGCAACCCTCTGGGTCCCAACCCAAGTCTATACTGCTGTCCCCTATACTGTTACTGTCTGCAACCAAATGGTAAATGGACTTGAGCATATATATCGCTTTTCTAGTCTTCAAAATACTCAAAGTGCTTTTACACCGCATGTCACACCGCCACATTCACACCCTGATGGCAAAGGTTGCTGTGTAGTGAGACCATCAGAAGTAACTAATCCCATTCATACACATGCATACACCACAGAGGAAGCAGTGGGAGCAATTTGGGGTTAAGTGTCTTGCCCAAGCGGACATGTTGCTGCAGGAGCTGGGGATCGAACCCTCCCTCCGGGTTGAGAGACGACGACTCTACCACCTGAACCACAGTCGCCCCAGATCATTCCAAAAGTCTTGCAGTTAGCTAAAAAAAATAATGACAGGCAGTCACCTCATGTTTCTTGCCCTGTCTGAAACTTCTGAATTGCTGCTTGAGAAGTAAGTTCAATAAAGAAAAACAGGAGAATCGGCTCCATACTGTTCATGAATACATCAAAAACTCTTAGCTTTTTAAAAACACCAGAATCACTCCGTACTGCTCCCACCGAGGAGAAAAAAACAACGTATGCTTAACTCGGTTCTCAGTGTGCAGGTTCATAGTTCTCTACAGAGAGATTCTTCCTGTGATGAAGACAGACCTTGTCAGTCACGCTCACTTAATACAAAAGGAGGATGTGACAGCAGCATGAAGTCATTCTTTCTCTTTTATAGTCTTCCTGCTTGTTACCCAACACCTGCAAAACACATGGACATGCGTGTGCCTCTTGGAATTTTAATGGTCTTTGCCTAACCTGAAAGGATAATTGCTCTTTATTGGGACTTTGGTCATCGTTTATACTGCTTTGGCCATAATTTCTAAATAGCTTTGGTCTTAGATCTCTAATTGAACCAGACACATATATTCATATTACCAAAGAGGTTTAAAACAAGCCAAATGTTGACCTTTAAACTGTGAATACTTTCAACGCAACGTTTTGGTAATGTTTGCTGTTTATTCTCTCTAACAAATAAGTTTGGTATTTAAAGCTTTGTTTAAAACCTCAAGCAGTAAACTTGATGAGTATGATGTCATTGAGCCTTGTGGAAATGAGGTCTGTCTTAGGAAAAAAATAAATTCAAGCTGTGGTTAACTCTCTCTCTAAACACACAGATACTGCAGGATCAGGCAACAGACATGAGTTGCCATCTAATGTGTCACATTTAAATTTGATATCAATATTCAATATCATACACTCGATGAGAAAATATGACTCAGTTACATATGTATGGTAAAGATTCCCTATTTGACCTTTATCTCTCACTCTCCGAGCCTCTCTCTCTCTCTTAAATCTGTCTCACTGTCTCACACTCCTTCTCAAGCTCTCTTTCCTTCAATATTCTGACAAGTTCTGGCAGGCCGTTCTGTAGAGCGAGGACAAATCAATACACCATCTAACAGCTGTCAGCTGGAGTCTTCTGTGTGTGTGTTTGTGTGTGTGTGTGTGTGTGTGTGTGTAGGTTTGCTGACTAGAGTGTAGCTGCTGCTTAGGGTATTGCATTCATTACTCTTTCCTTCTTCCCTCCTTCTCTTGCTTACATTAGCTCATCCTTTCTTTTTTAAATGGGCTTGTCGATAAGAATCCAATTAATATTAACAATGACAGTGTATGACAAGGAGATTAAAAAGACAGCAGCAACAGGATGCTGATCTCGTTTCCATTGGTTTTTTGAGCGTTGGAAATAGTTAATAATTTTCTATGTTTTAAGTATATAAGAAACTTCACAACTAATACATAGAACTGTAACCTTTTACTTTTAGGGCAACCACATTTTATTTAATAACAACTTTAAGGTTACCACAAGGTTAAGCCATGCCTTGGCTTCAACCACATGTGTGATCCACTATAACCTCAAATATAGGAAAGTGTGTCTGTCAGTCTCTCTCAGTGTGTGTGTGTGTGTGTGTGTGTGTGTGTGTGTGTGTGTGTGTGTGTGTGTGTGTGTGTGTGTGTGTGTGTGTGTGTGTGTGTGTGTGTCCATCTGAACCTGTCAGTTCCAGCAGCCCTGCTCTGCTCTAATGACCAGTTTGACCTTTCGCTGATAACTGGATGAGTGACACGGTCTCTCCTCCACTCTCACTTCTGCTCTCGCCTTTTTTAAACACTCAACTTGCTGCCTCTCTATCTTTGCACTATGACTTCCTTTATCTATATTTTACAAATGCAATGCTTCTTTTTCTTCACACAGTATTTAATCTTACTTTTCTTTGTACCTTACAGTACCTCAGCCTTGTGTTCTCTTTGGCAAACTTTAGCTTCTTATCATTTTGCTTTTTAAGGGCATTATGTCACCTGGTTTTCCCCCCACAGTTTTAAACAGACAGAAACATTAAAGCTGGGAAAGCTAGTAAGAGTGCGCTAGATTAAGAAGTTACCCAATTGAAAAATGTCAAAGCCAGTCCCTCAAACCGCATAAATGTGCACTGTGTCACTAATGGTGCAGGACAGGTCAAGAGTAGAGTACTGAGGAAAAGAGCACAGTGCATCATGGTCAATGCTTACTGTATCAGCTACCCCCCTTCACTGTTCCTGTGTGACTAGCTTGCTGATTTTGAGCTTGTGGAAGACTCTGTTCTGCGCATTGATTGCACAGGCAGAGTGAGCATAGAGGTGAATTGGAATGTAAGCCACCGAATCATTTACCCCAGACTGAATGAAGTGATTGCATCGGCTTACTTTAAGCCTGTAACATCATGCTATCTAAAAATGATTTGAATACATAACAAAATGTGTCTTTAAGAAGATTGCTCACCATAGTTTTAAATTTGTTTTAAATTTTAAATTAAATTACATTTTTCACAGTTTTTATATAGTGTTTCAACAACATACACACTTACAATGATGTGCTCTAATTCCTTTAATAGGTTGGCTCTCTCTGTTTCAATTTTAGCATACTTTAATTGGTGGAACCAGTAAAAATGTAATATTATTCCATATAGAAACCCATCCATTAATTCTACCCTTGCAAAAGTAACAGGATGAGTTTGGATCAAACTATCAGGTACAGTAGGTATTGTTGAACTATGGTTTTAATGTTAGGGTGTCATGAACTGCACTTGATTCAAGAACAATCAAATCTCCAGAGGTTTTTATTTTTTCTTACCAAAACTGACAATCTTCGGCTTTATAAACCTAAACAACATGGCTGCTGTAAATTATAATTTTTCAAAGCTTAAAAGGGACATATAAGATGTTTTTGTACGCTATTGGGGGAAAAAAATAAAAATAAAACATTTTTCTGCCACTAGAGGGCAGCAGAGACAACCGTCTTGTACCCTGTTGTGCACTGTCTCTGGTGCTGAAACATTCAAACGCAGCCTCTATCTTTGTTCTGGAACACGGAGCTGAATATTTTGGCTATATCATCATAGGTCATTTAAGCATTTTCTATAAGCTTGTTAACACTTATGTCCAAGATCTCTGCCAAATGCAGAAATTATAATTACTTACTGCAGAATACTACTCAATGCTTTGCCACGAAGAAATTATCTTGTTTTCAGTGATCTTGTCACTATATTCAAGGGTATCAGAAATATTTAGATCCTGGACTTACATCAACTAATAGTTAGAGTAAAATATTACAAAATATTTTTTAATATAAAAGACACCAAGGCAGCTGACAGTTTCAGTTGTATCTGAATTTTACACAGTAACAGTGTCTCGTTAAGTGCAGTCTTTTGTTTTTTTAATTATATGGAATATTCTGCCATCTAGTGATATTAAGAGCATATACAACAGTTCTGAGTATTCAGTTTAGTCGTCAGTTTTCATGTACTTTTTGTTCCTGTCCTTTTTCGGGTCTCTGTTTGGGAGATATGCTATGCTAAACCCCGTTCTTAACAGCAGGTGAATAAAAATATGCATTTTTTACTGGCAACCTAATCCTCCTCCGTGTCGTACAGGGGATATTGTCTTGTCATGATGTTTCACATATGACCTGTAGGTGGAACCAGACTGCCGCCGACTGTCAACGCTACCACAATACACCACCGAAGAAGAGGCAAACCTAGATAACTAATGCAGGGCAATGGGGTATGTATCTTGATATTATTAACCGGTTGTTTAAATATCAACTAATGCAATTGTATTAGCCTGTATGTAATTGAAATACATATTTTAATCGCTAAGCACGTTTCATGTTTTGTCATTTACTTCAGCTTTAGATACGCTTTCCGTGATAACTGCCGTCCGCCTACACAAAGCAGCATCTTCCACTGTTAGCCACTTAGCTCACAGCTAGCTGTCATTGTCACTGAAAACACAGATTTTTATTAAGGTGCACTTCTTTTTTTTCAACAGTCTAAAGTGAACACGGAGATGTCAAACGAATAAAATGTCTTTAGCCACAGTTAGCTTAACTCAGCGGGAACTGCCAGCAGTTGCCAAAAATAACGTGAATCTAATTAATATTTAAAACGTGGAAGAGTTACGTCCCCGAGAAAGACAGAGTGCTGTTACATCAGCCATTAGTAACGACGAGTTACAGACTCATTCACTGTCCTACATTTCACCCAGCTGCAAGACAGAGACCTCATTTTGTGTCACCCTGGGGCTCAAATCACTCCGTGGTGTCTCCAGTGAACACTTTGCTAGGAAGACAAGTGAGGAGGAGAGGTTTATTTTTAGGATTAATGTTGTCTTCAAACAAGGTGTTTATCAGAACGAAGGGTACACCTTCAGATCATCACTGATGTTAATATGAAATGTTTTTTTAATTTTGTTTCCAAATTGTGGTGCTGCATATGTTTGTAAAATTATTTCTGATCAGTACTCCACTGTCAAGTCTCTGACTTCAGGTTTTTTAAATCAGTTCATTTGAATTCATATAGTCTCTATATGAACTAGTGCACGTTGAATCTATCTATCTTATTCTCTTCTATTCTTATTAAATCAAAGAGTGAAATGTGAAAATAAGGAGTTTTACCAGCAGTAAGGCACTAGTAGTAGTACTTAGTGTACTGTAACACATCACTGAGGTACATATCTAGATGTATACTCAGATAGATATCTGTTGATCTAACTGAGTTTTTCATGTAATATAAAGAACTGTTCATTTTTAATTTGCTACTATATGCCTTCTTGTTCTGGGCATTGTTGATACATCCATCTTCAAAGATCTCAGCCAGGTGACTTGCTAGAAGAGACTCATGTATGATGAATGTCTCAGCTGTAGTATCTGATCTATCTGAAGCTTTAAAGCCTTACCCCCCTCCTCTTTTCCTCTCCTCTTTTCCTCTCCTTTTTTTTACAGTCTACCTGACTCTTTCTGACCTTCAATGCTGTTTGGCCCTCACAGCCATCCGTCAACATGCAAGGGTTCTACTCCAAGCTTGACTCATCCCCCTCCTCCTCCCCTTTATTGGGGGTGGGCCTTGGGAGAGAAGGTGCTCCTGTTCCTCTCAGTCTGGCTGTGGAGACGGAGAAAGCTCAGGCCCTTCTACAGACGTTCAGCTCCGCCTCTCTGCTGGCGTCAGCAGGACTTGGTATGTTCTGTGTGGTGGCAGACCACGCCCTTCAGCTGTCAGTCATTCAGCACCACCTTTGGCTGCGTGCTGCGTTGGACAACGCTACGCATGGGTTAATAGGGCTGTGGTCATGGGCAGTTGTTATTGGACTCAGGAAAAAGAGTGATCTGTATGAGGTGCTGCTGGCTGGTCTTCTGGCTTCAATCATAGACCTGGACCACTTCTATATGGCTGGATCCCTGTCACTCAAGGTAAGACCAACCTTACTGAAGGTTCCTCTGCATAACTGAGAGTGTCTAGTGTACACACAGGAAACAGACCAGTTACCTTAAGTGTATGCTCTTATTTGATTTCCAACTTTTTAAAGTCTAATGAAGATTAAAAATGACGGTACAAAGGAACATACTATAGAAGTATTATTACATGTCTAAATTATTTGCAGTGAACGATTAGAGTAGAAAAACAGTCAGGGTTTTAAACTGTCTGTTTTGTACTTGACTAAATTAGAAAATTCTGGTGTTTGTCTCCTACATTGTTTAAACATCATCCTTCAGCTGATTCAGGATTCTTGTGGGGGTAAAACAAAAGAGAGTGAGATAGTGTAGATGAATCATGGACTTTTTTTCCCCCAAGAAAGTAAGATACCAATCTGTAATACCTGTCTTAAGTGTTGAAGGAGGGACTCTTTGAAATATAACATTGCAGAGGCTTGTCTGCACTCTATTCAGAAAGAAGGGTTTCTTCTGCAAGATCCGAGACTTGACCTTCACCAATCCCAAAAAGGTTGAAGTACCACTATGTCTAACACTCCATCCTATGAACTATTAAGGGAAAGTCAACAAAAGTGAACAGGCTGTAATCCCAGCTTGATTGATGGCCATTCTGCTTCTATTCTGTATATATTTGTGTTAAACAATACTCCAGAACTCCTGCTGGACTTCACATCCCTGATTGAAAGACTTCCTCAAAGACAAGATGGGGAACATAACCAGCTGTTCTCTCCTGCTGGAGTTCTGGAGTATTCAGATGCTGATCTGAAATGACCTCGAGATACTGGTTTATGTAAACTCGTCTCCATCCCATAATATCCTGTCCTGCTTTCCTTTTAGGCTGCTGTGTCGCTCCCCCAGCGTCCTCCTCTCCACTGCTCCTCTCTCATTCCCGTGCTCTGTCTCTCCCTCCGTTTCCTCATGTGGATCGGGCGCCTCAAAGATGCTTGGTGCTCGCTGCCCTGGATGCTTTTCATTTCCATGGTAACACACCATGTTCGGGATGCAGTGCGCCACGGCTTATGGGTGTGCCCGTTTGGCAACACGGCGCCGCTCCCTTATTGGCTGTACGTGAGCACCACAGCGACACTTCCTCACCTATGCTCAGTGCTCATGTATCTGACAGGAACCAGGGATGTGATCTCCACCAAACACGGGGTGGCCATCGATGTTTAGATGTCACTAAGTTACCAGCACCGCCTGATCTGAAACGGATCATCTATGGAGAGAAAACAATGTCTTTGTTTTGTGAAAAACTTTTCAAGACAACATTTGAAGGCTTAGAAAGCGGTCATACGACACTAAAGTGTACAAAGTTAAATGTGGGTTTCAATTTATGGAGAAATCTGTGAAACAAAAAGAATACTGGATTCAGAAGAGGAACATTCCAGTCTGAGTGCCAATCATGGACATTTTCTGATATTATACAAAAGAGTCATTTTCAGCTATCTGGGAGGTGATTCTTATCTCTTCTGTCTGTTAAATGAGTGATCCTTTTAAATATCAGACATGTTGCAAAAGCTTGTTATTCCTCCCTGAACCATCTCCACACATCCCCATCCCGAGAACACTCAAGGAAAAGTCAACCAAAGGTCAACAGGCTGCATGGCACTGGCGTATAGGTGCCCTTTCACTCTCAGTGTGTACAGCAGTGTGTTACCACTTTAATTTACACATGCATTTCAATGTTTTATCAGCCATGGTGGTGACATTTAAAATATTGTATCTTTAGAGTGAGCTTAAAATCACGACCACATTCCAGTAACTGATCAACTTGTAATCACTCAGAAAAAGAAATGGATTCTTAATATCCAGCCATCAGCTCTTTGCCACTTTAGCAGACTCTTATTTTACTGCTTCAATTAGCCTTCTTCTCCAGTCACCATAAATTTCCCATAGAAGCCTCGTACTTGTTATACCGGCCTCTGTACTGTGTGCAAGAATCATCATCTGGGAAAGTGAGAGGTGTTCCACTTTGAAGAGAAACTTTTCTGAAGTAAAATTTATATTGCTGGCTTCCTACTGTTGTGCAAATGGACATAGCACTGCTTTTATTGTTTCAGTTTTGAACAGGAAGGTTCACTCAGAGTGTGACATGTACATCTTACGTTTGATTTTTACAGCAAAAGAAGCGAATGAAAGGATTTTGTATTTTTATCAGTTCAAAGGGCCACCGGTGTGACTTTCATTTAATACACCAAACATAGGAAATATAAGGGAACTTGAGAAATGCTGGATATTTATTTTAGAAAACTAGTTAAATAGTGTTTCCAGTAATATCTTCTTATCACTTGTTGATACTAACAGATGTATACAATAATTAAAAAAATTGAATTGCTGCATTAACTTGCTGTATATTGTTCACTGCAGTTTCTTTTGCTTCTGTAAATGACTGATACTGTCCAGTTTATATGCTTACATTCTCAGTTGGCTTTCTTGTCAACAACGACTATTTATTTCTAGTTATTTATTCTTCATGAATATTGTCATCCAGTGAAACACTGACAGACCATTTTGCGATAGGAAAGAGGAAGCCCTCACACTGTTAATAGACGTAGACAGAACACACACATGAAGTCCTCAGCAGTATTTCTACTAGATTTGAAATGATACATTACATGTTGTCATAGAGTGGGTAGTTGATTTAATATGTTTGGTGTTTGGATGTAAGTGTCATGCTCTGGGTTTCAATGGGATTGTGGGCTCCACAAAAGGATTAGAATTATCAAATGTTCTTGAACTGGGTCACATTTATAATCACTGTATTACAAAAGGTCGACAACAACAACAATTGTTGTTTTTTTATCGGTGTCATAGCTGGTGATTAAGGTTGTAGTGCTATATGCTGTCCGCTAGGTTGCAGCAGTGAGCTGCAGTGATTCACTATATTTGGTTGTAATTGGCCCCAAAGGTTCTATATTACAAAACATGTGGTAAGACATGATTCCAGGTACATCTGATTTAATTTATGTATCACAAGTTGTTTGGTCTGCTGCTATTGCTTTATCATTCTTCTATGTGTCAGTTATTTAAAATATATTTATCTTTTATCTATTGGAAAAAGGGAAGAATGGATTGGGAACAGTTTTTTTGTAGAACACTTTACACCTTTTGCACTGGAATTACATTTTTGAATGAAAAGGAAACATGTGAGCTGTCCCGTTGTAGTGGCCCTTTTCACTAAAACATCTCTGCTACTGCTGCTTACATAAACAATGTGACCTTTAGTTGTGCAATATTTTGTTGGATTTTACACATTTTGTTTTTTTTTACATTAAGTTATGTTTACATGTATATTTTTAATTCAATAGTAATTAAGTATCGACATGATCTAATGTAGTGTTCTTTTTATCTCAATAAAATTCATTGTGTGTATATATATATATATTGTGTTTGAGCATCAATATGCCCATGTTCATCCCGATTAGAGTGTACTGAATTACCCAGGTATAATATATTTAAATACAGATTAAATATTGGGGGAAGAAAGAGTTGCATGTGGTTGGCTGCAATGTGTAAATAGTAAATACTGCATTTTACTGCTCATGGGGCGGCAGTATGAAGGGACCTGGGTTGGAAACCGGAAGGTCGCTGGTTGAAATCCCTGTGCGGATCAAATCTGATAATTGGTCTATAGTATCTGGAGAGGTGCCAGTTCACTTCCTGAGCACTGCCAATGTACCCTTGAGCAAAGCGCCAACCCCCACAGCAGGGCTGCACTGTGGTGCTGGTTAGCCTCACAGCAAGACTGTCCCTGGTTCAAAATCTGTTTGGACAGTTTGTATGTTCACCTTGAGTATAGATCGATTCACTCCAAGTACTCCAGCTTCCTCCCCAAGTCCAAACACATACTTGGTAGGTTAATTGGTGACTATTGCTGAGCCTGAAAAAGACAACAGATGAACAGATGGATGATTTTGATAGGAAAGGAAAAGAAAAGAAACGGTTTGCTTGAATCAGAGTCAGTGTTTCCCCTACCGTTATATTAGGGGGGCTCCCCTGTAAACCTGGGGGAAACACTGAGAGTAGTCATTAGGCTGTGGGAAATAACATGAACAAATCACTTTTTTTAAAATCCATCATGCTTATAGGCCCAAAACACACCCTCCACTTTGTTTCCAGGATGCTGAGTGTATTCCTCACAACAACCCCACATCAGGAAATATGAAATTCACAGACAGATGAATGTTTCAGAAAACAAACAGTACCACATTTCCAGTAGAGCAAGAATACAAAGGAAATGTCATTCAAGGTGAATATCTTAAAAGAACCCATCAGAAAGACGACAATGCCAGCTATGATATAACAAGAAATAACTGAACTTTGTCACAATCAGAAAATGGAAACTTTGTTTAAGAGACTGGAACAGCAGTCATCGGTCTTGAAGGGAAAGGAGGTTGATTTTTGGAGGACCACAAACACAGAAAATACAAACATCCAGAGACAGAAAACACTGATCCCTTTCTCTGCTGACTCTTTTTCTTTCCAGAGTTACTGAAACTTTAATGCTCAACATTTTAAATGTTTTGAACACTAAACAGCTGGCATTAATCACCTTACTTAACAAAATACTAAATTGCCACAATCTTTTTTTCACCAAAAGACACAGAAAAGCCCCCCAGAAAAAAAAAAAAAAACATAAATGCAGTTTTAGGGGGAGCAGTGATATGGAGAAGATCGCTGTTTTAAAAAAATACAGAAAAACCCAGAGGCTACTTATGTGATAAAATAGTATTTATTTCACAGACAAATACAAGAACAGAAAGAAAAAAAATAACAGCTTATGGTGATATCTGTGGTACATACAAAGCAAAAAAAAAAAAGACAAAAAGACTATTTACAACTGAGAATGGATGCCTGAGTGTTATTTGAGTAATAATAACTGAAACCAACAGGCTCCACCTGCTATCACATACTGCAGAGGAACATTGAAAGATTGACACCACGAGAGTGAAACATCGAGGTGGTAAGAGATACATACACACAAAGAGAAAGAAAAGAGATCATCTTAAATATGGAGGACATGATGGAGAGGGTGAAGAAGGGTTTGTTTATAAAACTATCTTTCAATGTGTCTGTGAAAATGTAGTTATAAAACTACTTCCATCTGAGTGTATGTTTTATTTATCTGCTGTTCAGACCCGTTAAACCAACATTTACAAGAAACGTCAGGCAAAGCAATCTGAGATCTGTTCAGCTGTATTAAAGAGCATGTACAGGATGTTAAAATGAGGGAGTAAGTAACAGATTTTCTGTCCTAATTAAAGTAAATGAAACACTAAAAGTCCTAAAGAGCAAATGTATTTGTCCATCTCCAGACGGACAGAGAAGTGACAGACTTTGATGAAAATGATTGGCAATTTAAAACTTGGAGGAAAAAGAAAAACATGCTTACATTCATTAACTCCAAAGTGTATCCACTTCCTGAAAAAAAAATGTCAAATGTATCATAAAGAAGAGTAAAGTTAAGAAGACCATTTGCTGCATGTGTTGTTCCTAAGTTCAATGTTTCCACTTTTTGTAGCTCACTTCATCTGACATCTATCTACACACTATTTTTGTCTAACTTCTCCAAAACAGGACGTAAAAGTTCATCTCCACCAAATCAAATGTGAAAAATAAAGTGTTTTACTTTCTTTGTGTTATGTTGTGGAGGTTGAACAAAACAACCTATTTGTCATCCAAAGAAGAATCTGAAAAGAAAATCCGACTGGATGAAGATGATCTCAGTAAACACAATGTCCATACAGTAATGATACAGTAACACAGCTTCATATAACTGGGTGGAAAGACACACATACACAATGATGGGAAGGTTCTCCAGACATGGATTATCCTTTCTCTGAATATTTCTATGCCATTGGGTCCGAATAGATTTATTGTAGGAAAAACTGAAATGTTTCTCAATTGACTTATTATGTTATGTTCATTGGATTGGAGAATTTACCTTTTATCATAAAATAAGTGCTAATTTGTTCATTCCAATTGAACACAAAACAGATAGTTAATCCATGTCTGTAAAATCCAAACCAAATAATATATATTTTATTTCTACATATAAACATCACATTTAATAATGTACATGAAATGTATCTTTCTCAAAGTGTGATACACAATTATAAACAAAAAAAAGAAGCTTCAACTGGATCCATGCATAACATGTGGAGCTAGCTCAGGAGAACATACACCGGTCAAACTGCACCTTGTGTTTCATTGTCATTGGTCAATCAATAAATCAATTGGTTAATAACTACACAGCTTTGAAACAACACCAGATGAACCACCAGACCAGCAGAAAGAAAGAAAGAAATAGACACACTCAAGCTGTAGAGTGTTTTATCAGCTGGATAGTTAGCCAGGACCCGCGTTTACAAGTTACTGATGTAAAAAGCTTGAATAAACCAGAGTAACTGGAATAGGGGTTTGTGGGGCTTTTCATTGGTTAGCACAGGCCACCGGATATCATTCATCTTCATGAGACAGTGTGACAGGAGACATGAGTACAGTGAGCGAGGGTCACTCTTGTCAATTAATTGTGTTTGTGCTAGGAATGCACAATGTGAATTGTATTGAGCTGATACTGATCATTTCCTGCTCCTGATAAGATTACCTCTTTTTACCTTTTGACTTTTTATCAGAAAAATCTTTTTTCTGTGTTGTAATAAAGTTTTCTAAAATTGGCAAACTTAAATGTTGGGTTTATTAGACACACCAAAGATTAACTCCACCATCTGATCCTACAAGTCGATTGATAACATTTTATTATAATTGAATACAGTGGTGTAGTAGTGACTGGAGAAGTGGGTATACTATGTTTCTTTTAAGTGGCTCGTCCACCAAATGGCCTCTGTTAAAAACAGTGACTTTTAAGACTGCCTTTGCATATTCAGTTAGTGCGTACTAGTCAATTAGAGACAGAGTAGGGAGGGTCATCCCTTCAAAATCCTAGAAAAAGAATTGCAGCATACAACAAAATGTTGTCAATAAACCAAAAGTGTGAATCAGAGTAGATTAAGAGGTGTGTATACTCTATGGAGACTGAAAACTAACTGGGTATACTCTGTATACCTGCGTATATACCCTGCACTACACCACTTATTGAATACATGTTTATCATTTGTCATGAAGGTGACAAATATTTGTAGTTTACAGCTCCTCAGGTGAAAAAGCTGTTTCTTTCTCCTTGGCTTCGTCAGAGAAACTCGGTTATATAAACAGGCCATCTAAACAATTTTGAGAATTTGTGAGGAAATGACATCATGCCTAAAAATAATCAACAGATATGTTAACGCTGGTAATGACTAGTAGAGTTAATCCTGCAATGGACACCGTTTTTAATTTAAAGTTCTTATTATAACATACTCCATATCAGAGGGGGTCGTCCAAAGTGATTAAAGTAAAACTTCTTTGGTGTCCTGATAGATGAGTATCAATGATTTGATATCCTCTTGGTGATTGAGTAACTAAATCTCATGATGCTGGTGGTTTGTGAAAGGCCAGTATCTCTCTTCTAATCACTCTTTTTTTGATTCTTTTCTGCCCATGTGTGTCTTTCACACATATTTTGGATTAGTGGCTGGATGGAGAGAATGAGAGGTATAAACAAGAAACAAAAGTACACCTGTACTAAAGACATTACACAACAAAACAAGCATATCATGCAACAAGAAATGACTTGATGTCTAGATAACCTAAACTGCCCACCTTTGACTTAATTTTCCATGTCCCCACCCTCAGGTCAGGGGTCCTCAACTGAGACAATAATGCCCTTTAGTTGCTGCTTTGGCATCAGATGCACACGAGACGTTGGCAGAAGTTATGTTTCCTTCACAGCATTGAGTCAGTCGGTCAGTCAATGGACGCACCATGTGTTACTTTCAGTGAATCTCAACAAAATAAAAGAACTAGTGTTTGAAGATACTCAAATTGTCCAAGAAACAAAAAAAAGTTCCCCTTTGCACCAACAAAAGCATATGTTCTCTTGTTTGGCAGTTGCACTTCCATGTTGCTTAAAGTTCAAATGAAAACAATCTCCTTTCTCTCAAAGACGAGTCAGTCTGTGTGAAGCAGCATCAAACATCCTGAACCACTGTCTCTCCATACTGTCCCCTTGAGTGAACAGCACTCAAGTTGCTAAAGTGAATTAAAAAAAAAAAAACAGGATTGGACTGATTCACCACCCAATGGGCAGTTGGCTGATGCATTATGGGTAGTGTGGTTCAATACGACGTCTGAATATGTCCAGGGAAATCTACGCTTCTTCAACTTTTAATGGACTCGGTTACCTATCCTGACTCCACAAAGTCCCTTGTATAGGTTCCTCCCAGCTGTCGTAGATCCTGGATTGACTTCGACTGATGCATTCTGGTTAATGTAGTTGTATATGGACGGCCAGTTTATAACAGTGGTAAATCCAAAGAATGACTTGTGGGAGTAGCCCTACAACGGGCTGACGAGAAAACGTTGCTTCAAATTTACCTAAGACAAGAGAGGAGAGGAGAGGAGAGGAGAGGAGAGGAGAAGAGACGGGAGAAGAGAAGAGAAGAGAAGAGAGGAGAGGAGAGGAGGAAAGGAGAAGAGAAGAGAAGAGAAGAGAAGAGAAGAGAGGAGAGGAGAATAGAGGAGAGGAGAAGAGAGAAGAGAAGAGAAGAGAAGAGAGAAGAAGAGAGGAGAAGAGAAGAGAAGAGAAGAGAAGAGAAGAGAAGAGAAGAGAGGAGAGGAGAGGAGAGGAGAGGAGAGGAGAGGAGAGGAGAGGAGAGGAGAGGAGAGGAGAGGAGAGAAGAGAGGAGAGGAGAGGAGAGAAGAGGAGAAAAGAAAAAAATCAACAGGTAGGATAGGTTAGATTGGAAAAGAGAGAGCATGAGGGAGAGTAAAGTGGAGGAGAAAAGAGAAAAAAATAACTTTAAAAAGCATGTATAAATCAATGTAATTAAGCACTGCCTTGAAAGCAAGGCTTTAAATACCAGAGTTGAATGACAAATATGCAGGCATACTTACTGAGTTATAATCTGTGTGTGTGTGTGTGTGTGTGTGTGTGTGTGTGTGTGTGTGTGTGTGTGTGTGTGTTTTAAGGCTTTTAATCACAGCTTTGGCTGACTATCTGAAGGCTTGTCTGAATGTTGTTTAAAGCAGCTCTTTGAACCATCTTCGTTCTAACTAAAGCAGAGCTTTTCTTCTTTCTGGCTTGACTCCCATCTGGGGACTTTTTTGAGGTCGTTTTATAAATCTGAAAATAAGTGACACCTAATTAGGATTTTAATTAGCTTCCCCACAGAGTCTGTTTACCGTCCAGAGGTGGAAAACTATCTGCCAAATTTGAACCACAAACATAAACAACCATGTGTGGCCTACAATGAGATCTCTGCACATTCACAACATGTGCAACAAGACTGATGTAAGAATGAATGTAAGTCTGCTTTAAACAAATCAGAACAAACAAATAATTACATTATATATAACATTAAGATATAACATGTATGTGTGCATCTCACTTTAAATTGGCATGGACTTCATCTTGACCATTGAGGTAAGTTCCTGTTTGGTCACATGATCGCGCCGCCTTTGCCTCACCCTGAAAATCCAGAAAATAAGTAAACACACACATATACACACACACACACACACACAAAAAAGGAGAATACCAGGCTTTTGCAAAAGATAAATAAAACAAAGAGAGACATTACACACAGCTGTGGCCTGGGGATGTGGGAAATGTGTGTGTTCAAGTGTGTGTCTTACCACACGACAAAGATGAGGGAAAGGACGGTGGTGAGGATGACCACGGAGAACAAAACCAGTAGAATCACCAAACCCAAATTACCTTCATCCTCAAATTCAGGATCTGGACGTAAAAAGAGAGGAAGAAAACAACAGGGTGGTCAACAAAACCAACATGGTGGGAGAAACAGAGAGCAGGAATAGAAATGAGATACAGGATAGATTAATGTAGTAAAACAACGAGATAAAAAAATAAAAAATATATTAAAGCAGGAAAATGGACTAGTGAATTAAACAGAGCACACATGTCTATGTTGTTATTTTGTCATGATACATAAACGAAGGCAAAAGCCGTGAAAATGTGTGTTTCATAATTTTTTTCAAACTTGTTTCATCTTTAGTGTTTGCGTGTGTTTCTCAGAACTAAAATGTGTTTGTTCCCTGGTTTAATTACTCTCTGGTGGGGAGTTAATTTTATATCTGCCATTAAAGCTTTCACACAAACATGCATTTATCATACCAAGGGGACTACATACACATCTCTTTCACACACAAAAACAACAACAAATATGGTTTAGAAGTGTGAAACAAAGCAACAAAGTCAAGCAAAGACAACCCACTCAATAACAATAAAATGTGCAAAAAAATGCTTAGTAATCAAATTATTTAAAACATGATTTATGAGCACATCTGCAAATAACAGGACACACACATACATACACACGCACACACACAGGAAAAAAACAAACAAACATCTGGTTCACATCAGAGCATCTAAAAGAAATGTGACAGTGTCGATCAAAGCGACTTTCAGCCTTTACCGCCAAAAGAGTGTGTTATCTTCTTGTGTTTACTATATATTGTTGTGTGTGTGTGTGTGTGTGTGTAGACAAGTGTATACTTGTCTTAGCTTCATTTTTTTTTATTTTTTTTTATCTGTAAACATGTGAGCTTTTCCTCTAGGCACATGCTGCAGAAGACATTGAACCCTGCAGGTATAATTGACTGCAGTTACATGTTATTTGCTGATGAAGCCAGGCACTCGGTACCTGTCCTCATCTATGTGAGTATAATAACCTGTATAATAAATGCCTTTTAGCCACACTAATGACTCACATGGCCTCTGGTTGCTGCTAAAAAATATGCTCATCCTGACGTCTGATTATCTATAATTCACTCACTTCACCTTTCCAGGCAAAAAAAACAAAAACAAAAGAGACTGTGCGCACAGATACTGGTGCATTGTAAACAAGCATGTACCTGCCTTTCTAAAAACAGATCCAAGCTGAGGTCATCCTAAGGCTGTTTAATGGTTTGCCTCCATATTAGACAATGGATGTTTTTGTGACGCAATAATAGCTATGTAGACACTACATGTAGATAAAGAAGTGATGATGAAAGCAGTGGAGTATTTGTACTCAGCATAATGACTCTATAGAAGCAGATTTGATAGAAAGTTGCAGCAACATCTGGAAGTAGCAGAAATACTCATAAACAGCCTAGAATAATAAAAATTATAGTAGTGTTTAGCCTCAACATGAAAATACTGTTGCTTGTATGAGTAACTATGCACTCCTCATTTGAGTTGACACTTATATTATTATAGTTATATTTTCTTACTGTGTGACTTTGCAGTCGAGGTTTCAGGTTTTATGATGAAGGGGATGATATCTTCTTCATCAGGATTAGGGGTGGTGTAAACTGTAATACAAACACACATTACAGACTTCAGACACTTGTTCAAATAAGTGATAATCAATATACACAGATATAAGTTTATTGTTAAATGCTTGATATAAGTATTCTCTATACTGTTATGCTGTATACTGCTGCATCAGCCCAGGGGAAGTAATGCTCATTTATTTTAGCTGATTGTCAAATTGAATGTTACTTTTATTATGAAGACTCAACTTTTACTCATAATACATTGAGAAGTCCTCATCATCAATCTGTATTTATTTGTATAGCACCAATCCATTACAAATTTCATGTCAAGACACTTTACAAACTCTTTGCATACTCTACATGCTTTTTTTTATAATCAAACAATGTGCATAATATATTCTCAACTATTCCTTGGTATATAAAACATTTGTAAAGAATAATAAAATGGATTGAATTAAGTATCTGCTCTCTGTTAATTTATACATGTGTTGTTTAGAATGTGCTCCAAATAGACTTTGTTGATCATCTGCAGAACAAGGATTTTGGGAGTGTTGTCTCTGACCTTCCCAAGGTTTGCAGAGGAACAGGGGAGACCATTCGCTCCACTGGCTCTCAAGGTTCACTTCATCGTGGGCTCGGACCTGGACTTGGTGGAGGTGGCCAGCCAGGGCGTCAAATATTGTGGCTGGACTCTCTAAAGAGAAAATCTGATTGGCAGGAAATAAACAGGATGAGGAATGAAAGCATTAGAAAGTAACAAGGAGAAAGATCATGGTGGCATCATAGAAATAAATAAATAAAGCTCCAGTTAGGAAACAGCTCAGTGTAACTGCAATGTCATCAAATTTGAGGTATTGACTTCAAAAGTGTGATCTGATTGATGGACGAGATAAAACCTGGGCAAACCGGAGGAAGCTTCAGGTGAAATGTGTTTTTCGCTCTCAGTAAAGTGACAGTAAAGTCTTTTTCATTGTGCCACAGTTTATTTACATTTTCATTTAAAAACAAGATAAGAGTCGAAAATGAAATGGAAACTGTTTAATATCCAACTTTTTGTTGTGTTTAAATTCCTCGTTGGGTATTTGATCTGAATCTTTAGATGACCCCCCCCCCCCCCATCTTACAACATCTATTCCTCATAACTTAAAGGCAGGGTTGGTAATTTTCAAAAACTAGCATGATTTTGAAAGTACTATTCCCTCAGTGCTTTGCTACACCCACCCCATCTCATGGGGTCTCTTACAACATGTAGAAACTACATTGTCTCATGTCTCATTCAGCGGTAAGTAAACTCACAGTATAAACTCCTAAAGTCATCAGTGATGCGCTTTGAGGGTGGACTAGAGCACGCATGGGGTAGAGAGCGAGCAGGGAGACAGGGAGGCCTGATTTGTCAGTTTCTCTGGGCAGACATTGGTCAAAGTTTTTAAATGCTTACAACTGCTACAGATGACGGATTTTCTTAATTCCTTTCTCAGAGCATGTGAATTATTAATGTTTGTCAGGACCTAAAGACAATTTCAACCCAAATCTTACAAAATGTATCTGGAGAAATTTACCAACCCTGCCTTTAGTTAATAAAAAACAACGCTTAGAACAAGTTCAAATGTCTTGCAGTAACAGTGTTTTGGCTCGAAAAGAAATCTGTTGACTTGATCAACTTACAGCAGAAAATATAAATAAACCTATTTAACACAACAGAATATATAGTTATGGACTTCACAGTCTTTAAGAGGCATGATCTCTAGTTGACTTAAATATCCTTCTATACTAGAAGTATAGTTTTATATTAAAACAAATAATCTTCTCCCCAACCTGTCATTTTCAGAAATATTTTTTGTGAATGAATATAACTACAAATAAAAAGTGTACCTCGGTTGTTAATGTTTGTTTCCAATCATAGTAAAGTAAATCCCAAATACCCAAATCAGTCTAACAAGTTACTTGAAACAAAGTTTTGTGACTAACCTCAGACCAGTATATAGATCCATGTGGCCTGTATCTGACATGAAACAGAAGGGGGAAAGCAACATGGAGCGGCCAGGAAGAGGGAAAGCTCCATGAGACGACGAGCCTCTTCGGATAACCTTCCAGCTCCTTCACCAACAAGGACTCTGGAGGTTCTGGTTTCACTGCAAACAATGAAAGACAGAAAGTGTGACTTACAGTAGTTACGATGTTTTAGACTATTCCATATAAAGACTGTTACTAAACCAGTGGTTCTCAACGAGTGGGTAGTTTTAAAGATGTTACTTTTCTTCTGTTTCTTTGTTTTGTCTGGTCCAAACTGCACCATTCTTCATTTAAATCTTAATTGGCTTAAAAATATCAGAAATTCAGGTCTCAAAATGTATTTAGGTGTTGGAAGTAAACACTCTATAATAATTAGGAATAATTGGATGAAGCATTTACCTGAATAAAAATGTTCAACTCTTTTCTAGTAGAAGCACAATTCTTCACTATAACAGATACAACTTCAATGTCTTCTACTACGTCACCTGCCTCTTAATAGACCACATCCATTACTTCTCTGAAGTTGTCCTTCAGAGTCTGATCTCTTGAGTTATGCTTTTAAACCACAGTGACAAAAGTAAAGAGAGGTTGAGAATATGGTGAGGAAAATCTAACAGGCACAGCAGCCGCAATGAAGACTCGAGGACGCTTTTAGCGGCGCTGAGCCACAAAACATGATTGAGACAGAGGAGCAGCATGAGGAGATAATTGAGGTTATTTTATGCAGAGCAAAGAGAGAAGGTCACAGCAGTAGTCAGGAAAAATGATGCGTGTCACCAGAAGTCTTGACATTTAGTATGGGTTTGTGTGTGTTGAGCTGGTGTATTAATATACTGCTGCATCTATATTGCAGATGTTTGCTTTTTCGTAACAGCTTCTTTTTTTTTTAGCTTCTAGTTATTTGTGAGCATCAGGGGATGTGCCAATCAAAGCTTGTGTAGTTAATATTTATCATTCTAACAAATGGGAAATATCGGAAAATGTGCAATATTTGAGAATAGAGAAAACAAGCTTATCTGATTATTGGTTTTAGGAAACAGAAGGTGATTTGGCAGGAAGAAATACTGAAGCATGCCGCTCATTATCTGGAAGATTCTAAATGACTATGATATATGACATCTGCAAAAAATAATACAAGGACAGCGAAGTGGCAAGCCAATCACACTGGTTGTTTTTCAATTTATGTGTCAGTCTGGTTTATTAGAGCTAGTGGTGGTGCACTGAAGACAGGAAAATCGTGAAAGTTATCAACCTACGGAGGAACAAATGTCATTAAAGTGCTTTATAAACATAAAATCCTAAAACAAATATCCCCTTTAGATCAGAAAATCTATTTAAAGGGGCGCTGGTGGCGCAGTGGTTAGTGCGCGCGCCCCATGTATGGAGGCTGTCGTCTCAAGCGGGCGGCCCAAGTTTGCTTCCCGCCTGTGGCTTCTTTCCCGCATGTCATTCCCCCGCTCTCGCTCCCTGATTTCCAACTCTATCCACTGTCCTCTCTATCCATTAAAGGCACAAAAAGCCCCAAAAATAAATCTTGAAAAAAATAAATAAAAAATAAAAAATCTATTTAAAACTCCCCTTCTTCACATTTGTGTTTTAAGTGATCTTACATAGCTCATGTAGCTTAAACCGGTCGTATGTTGTCTCAGACCCCAGGGCATTGGTCTCAGTCACTCTCAGGGTATGGATTGTCTGCCATAAGGCAGGATGATCTATATCACAGTGCTTGTGGGTGTTGTCCACAACGCATGGCTTCCACTCCTGACCGTTCCCCCTTCAAAGACAAGACAGAGCACGGTCAATTATGCAGTTTGATAACTGACAAATCAGTGTTCAGGAAACTGCAGAAAAACCACAGTTGATTTCTACAGCCAATACAGTATATCTTATCTTCTCCTGCTTCCATAGGAATCCAACAAAGATAACGTTTAGAAACAACTGCTGTGATTAAGGGCATAAAAGCAAAAAGATGAGAGTAAGCAGAGGAGGATAGACAGCGTTCATGTTACTTCCTCATTCTAAATGTGACCTTCAACTTGCAGTTAGTCAGTCTTACCTGAAGGAGGCGTTGTACTTGGCCGGCAGAAATGTCCTTACAGATTCCTCCCAGGAGCAGCGAACATGTGTGTGATTGGGCACTTGACAGGAAATGCTCAGTGGCCCAGGGGGACCTACAGTAGGAAACAGGAGTCAAACAGAGTGAGAGTTCATGACAGAGAGTTCTTTTTTTTTTTTTTTACTGTTAGTCACAATATTTCACAATTTATGTCTTCTAAAATAGTCTAAAAATGAAATGTGCTCAGTTATCCCTCTCATGACATTAAAGGAGAAGCTTGGCCACTTCCATTGAAAAACTTCCTGTTCCTGGAAAGGAAGCTCGCTTAGGGAGATGTTTCCTGTTTGAGACATGAACGGAAGCGGGGGGCCTTTGTCTATGTCACGGCTGATAAGACCCGTTTCCCCGGAGGACCAGTAAGCCCTTTTCTGATCACAAAATGACTTGTTATAGACACAGAGTAAGGCTGTTAATCAGAAACTGATTGATAAAAAAGAGGGGGAGAAAACAGACAAACTCAAGAGAAAATGAAATGTCTGAGTAGGAGGAATAGAAACTGTTTGATGGTTCTATGATGAATGATCTAAAAGATGAACTTCACTGAGGGAAAGGGCTGCCTCTTTATGGAAGGCTCAACCACAGGGGACATGTTCCTGCTTGCAAAGGTTGTTTTTTTTCTCCCCCCGAAGATACAGTCCCATGGCAAAAGCCGAAAGTATGGAAGAGCTGTTGAAGTGTTATAAATCCTAAATTTGGCACTGTGTAGCAGGACAAGTCACAAAAACACTTACGGCCCAGCCTGAGGTTGACAGAGTGGAGGAGGAGCCCTCTGTTGTCATAGCAGCTGTAGTTGCCCTGCGCAGAGTGGTTGACATGCAGCAGTACTAAGGTTCCATCTGATGTCACCATGCGCCATGGTAACACTGAGCTGTGGTTGTGATGCCACACCACAGGTATCCTGGACAGGAACACATTACAGTTAGATTATTAATATTGTCAAGACAATTAAACCTCTTTAAGGACATTATCACAGGCTGCTTTAATTCCCAGAATCTTGCATATCACCATGAACCACACCCACAAGGAGATTGCCACTATCATTATTTTTATACGTGTTTTTATTTCCATTTATTGGCTTTCTTTTGATGACCCCTGAATTTACTAAACTTAGTTTTAGATCACTGAAAACAAAACAAAAATCCAACTCCTGTGCTGAAAAGATCTTGTCACTTTATTACAAAATAAAAAATCCAGTTCAAGTCTCACTCAGGCAATCACATTCATTCCTTACCTGATTTGTGACTTCCCGCATGCCAGCTTCACATTGGACTCCAGGTGCTCATACTGTATACCCGACACTGCAAACAGACGTCCAATAAAATATTAAAGCACATCCGTGTCTAGCCTGAAAGATCCGCACACTTTACAATCCAACATACCCACGTGTTCACATTGTCTGTAATAAAGTGATTTAAGCTCCATCTTTCACAGCAGAGTCAACAGCATTACAATAACATGACCATACAAGGTTACCTGCAGTCACTAGGCTGTAAAAGCTTTGGCACAAAATATCGAGCTACTTCAGCATTTTATATTTCTCAGAAAGTTTATTCACACATTATGTAATATTACTATACATCAGCAAATACACATTAAGACACATTCAATTATAGACAATACACAGTAAAGCATTTTAAGAGGATACCATGAAAAAGATTCAGATTAAGACTTCTCTACTTAAATAACTGAGTTAAAAAACATTTTTCATTTTAACAATCAAAGAATGGCCTTTTGTTATGTTGAAATGACGAGTGCTGTGTTTCCCGGTGAGACTTCCACATAAGTTCATTTAAACAGCCGGGGCCTGCTTTCTGCTCTCTGTATTAATTTGCCTGTCCACAAGATTGATTCACTGACTGCAGAGGATTAAACATGGTCCTGTGCTTCTCAGACCCAAAGTAAACAAATTACTGGCATGTTATGGATTTTGGAACACTGAAGAGGACTAAAGAAAATACACAGACAAAACCAGTGTACCTCGAGCAATCCTCTGTGTTTCAGTGAAAATCAATATTCAGGCAGGACACTCTCAACCGTATATGGAGGGACCTTTAAAACTGGACCGCTTCACAAAGTAGATTGAGAACTAGATTATTTGTTTTTCTAGCCAGTATCATCACTGTAGTGATACTAACCACGCAAATACTAGAGGTGGGGGAAAAAATCGATACCAGTACAGTATCGCGATATTTTGTGTGGCGATATATCGTCTCATGGCCGCCAAGTATCGATATTTTCAAAATGATATTTTAGATACTTTTTAAATTTTTAACTGCTGAAGGGGTTGCAAAATTCATTTTGAACAAGTTGCATTTATGTTAAAGTTCAATTAGACTGAAATACAAATAAAAAGACTTAAGTGAGATGAACAGCCTCCAACTTCATTTAGTTTAGTGTAATGGACATAATATGAAGTTAAAAAGCTTAATCGCAATATATTGTATCGCAATTCTTAGCATATCGCAAAATGTTAAAATCGCAGTAGAATCATATCGTGTCTCAAATATTGCGATAAAATCGTATCGTGGGTACTCTGGTGATTCCCACCCCTAGCAAATACCTTTACTGTATCCTTGCTTTATTAGTAGTAGCGCTATATAGTCATTACAAATAGACATTTGGAAATCTGAACAGGAACTTTGTAACTATTCATCATTAGTCTGTTTGCAATTTTGATTTGGACAGTATTTAAATAAAAAAACTGCTAAAAGCAGCAACTCCATGCCTCCCAATTGAACTTGGGCTGGCATCACATGTTTTAGACATGACATCTCTAAACCTGGGCAATAGAAATAAAAAGTTATTTGGACAGTGTAGCTGCCTTTTAATATGTAAGTAGATTTATCCTGTCACAGGTTAATCCTCCACAACAAGTCATGAGAGTCAGTCTTTTATTTAACCATGGTTGAAAAAGCTGAAAGGCAATACCAGTCATTTAGTTCATTTAACACTTTGTTAAAAAGAACCGTTTGTATCAATAACCACATTGATGAGAGAGAGAGCTGTTGTATTATTACTTGCAAACACTAAATTGAAAGCTAGTGTACATTTAAAGCTAAACTAAATGCAGTGTAAGCAAACATTTGTGGTGACTGCGGAGTTGATACTCTATCTCCAGTTAGTGAGTGTATGCGTGTGTCATGTTTAGCTTGGCTCCGTAATATCAAAACTTGCAGATCTGGAGTGGAAAAACATCAGTTTGACTGCCAGTGTGCCACGCACACACCTTCATTAATTCTCCACCTCAATCACTCAGGCATGCACACTCCCTGCTGGCCTCCCCTCCTCTCCTTGGTTACCAACACTTTGTCCCAGGTCTTTGCTCTGTCTTTCTTCCTTATTCTAACACAAACCTTCCTTTATTCCATTTACCCTTCTTTTACACGTTTCATCAGATGTGGCCTGAGGTGAGGGGACCAGAGGGGTTAGAGGTAGGATACATTTTAAGGATCTTATAATTATTATAATTCTTTATTTGTATATTTATATAAAATATCCCTGCAGCAGAAACCTCATATGTTCTTCAGGGATCAACTGAGGTAATTCTGAATTAAATTGTACACATACTCAATTGAAGTCTTTACTGAGGGCTTATTCAATACTTGGTTTTCAATGATACCTTAAAGTTGTCTTTTCTGGCCGAGCTATTGTTGTTTTAGTGGTTGTGAAAATGAAACAGCAGTGGGAACGAGCTGCAAAGTTCTCCTTAGTGATTCTGTGGTTGCATTTATGTTTTTGAGAGGAGGAGACAAATACATACAGAAAGAAGGACAATGAAACCTATTGAGATGTTTTTAAAAAAGCAAATAAAGCTGTTTATACTTGAGTTCTGTGTACAGGAAACAAATTTCAGCAACAAGGCCAGCTGTTGTATAGTTTTCTAATAAAGCTGTGTGACAATGAAGGTCATAGTATCTTCAATTAGCTAGCAATTAAAAAACTGTCTTTTTTGTTATTATACATGACCTAAATACCTTTTTTCATACTTACTCTGTCCTCTGAAACTTTCAATTAAAATGCTGTTTAATCACTAAGTTCAGAACACAGTGACAATAGTGAAAAGGCACCAGGACTGGATTTCAAAAGTAGGCTGGGAATCTTTGGGTGCCTCACAATTAGCTTCGATTTGGATTCTTGGGGTCAGGATTTGATTGAGAATCTATTTTTCGATTCTAAACGATTCTGGATTCGCGATTTAAAGTCTATTTTTGAATTAGTATATACTCTCGGATTTACTCCAGTCACCTGCGACACTGGCTGAATTTCTTGCTGCTCCATTTGGCATTTTACTGAGTTAAAGAGCTAGCGTTATTAATTAGCAGGGAGTGACTGATCAGCCAGAAAAACAACAACAATTTTTAGAAGTTATGAATCTATTTAAAATCTCAGAAGATAAGAATCTCGACTTTTACATAAATCAGTTCTAGGGAGAATCAAAGTTCTAAACATAATACTCAACAATAAACCTGTTATTTACCAGATTTTCTTTTTCCCTTTAAAAGGACAAAGAAACACACGCACGCACATGCAAGTACACCCCTCCCTCTTTCTGTGTGTGTGTGTGTGTGTGTGTGTGTGTGTGTGTGTGTGTGTGTGTGTGTGTGTGTGTGTGTGTATATGTGTTACCTGGGGCCCTGGTGCAGTGCAAAGATTTGGCTGGTCTGAATGTGTGTATTCATGATTTATTGGCAGTGAAGTACATTATTCCCCAAACCCGCAGCGTTCCACTCATATCTGATTCTGCCTTTGGCAAGAGGGCCCAGAAATGTGCATACACACCAACATACATAAAACCACACACACACACACACACACACACACACACACACACACACACACACACACACACACACACACACACACACACACACACACACACACACACACACACACACACACACACACACACACACACAGGAAGGGTGCAAGTTTCTCTCAACATTAAAATCAGATGGCAGGCTGGACACAGAAACTGCAAACTGGATGAAACTCAGTACTTTCCAAACAAAGAAAAAAACCTGGAACTGCTGTTTGGTAAATGAATGGGAAATTAAATCTTTGACAATTTCACCTGAAGGGCTGTGGGCAAGTTTTCTTATTTTTAGAGTTATTAACTGGGCTGATTTTTTGAAGGGATTCAGTGCTAGAGACAAGACAGAAACAAAAACAGTCTTTTAAAGAAAGAAAAAAGGAAAAATGGGGCGCTTGTTTAGCTCCATTTGGCACATGTCATCCCCACTCTCTCTCCCTCACATTTCCTGTCACTCTTTAAACGTCCTATCTAATACAGCTAAAGGAAAAAAAAAAAAAAATCTTAAACAACAACAAAAACGTGAAGAAAAGAGGACTCAGACAGATCTCTTTAGTAATGTGTGAGGCATCAACAAAAGTATCGATCAAAAGAAAGAAAGAAGGAAAACATCAATTCAAAATCAACTGTTAAAACAATGACTTTCAGGTTGCCAGTGGCCTAGTGCCCTATGTACAAAGCCTACAGTCCTCGACCAGGCAGCTAGACTCAACCTTTGACTCATTTCCAGCATATTAATCCCGACTCTCTCTCGCCCAAATTCCCAACTCTATCCACTGTCCTATCTCTCCAATAAGTCACAAAAAGACCAACAATTATTTCTTAAAAAAAATTGTACAATGATGAGTTTCCCTAAAAAAAAGAAAACGTAAAAAAATGTAGTTGCACTGTATTCCCATTGTATCTTCATTTGGGATGTGTTACCTCCTATAAGTACTTGGATCCAAAATAAGTCAAGAGCGCCCCAAAATAGTTCACAAAAGAATCTGTGCCTGATCCTTAACAGAAGGTGTGTTTGAGTGTGTGTATTTGTGTGTTTATGTGTGTTAAATATAGGTGGTGTGCAGGCAGAAGTGTGTGCATGTGTTACCTTCATCAGACTGAATCTGAGCGCAACTGGGACGCAGCGACCAAGATAAAAACCAGATGACTGTCAGACACACAGGACTGGACAAAAGGCCTGGCATCTGGATAGACAAAGAGAGGGAGAGAGCGTGGGGAGGAAAGGACATGTAAGGATCAGGAGTTCATCATCATCACCATCATCATTATCATTCTGAGTGTGCTTTATACAAGAACATATGAAAGAAAAATGTTTTGAAAAACATCCTGAATATATAATTTCTTTTTCAATTTCCTGGTGAGTAAATGTCCTTAAAAATAGCTTCAGTAACAACATAATGCAAAAAAATAACTTCCCAAATCTAGCACAAAAAAATCAATGTTTTTCTTTTATCATTTCCCCCCAAAAAGTTTTTAAATTCACAGACATTGTCCAAGACAGCCTAAAGGCGTGATCTCTCACTGGACTTCTCCATAAAGTATCTTTAAAAACAACAACAACAAAACACTGTCCCATAAGTAGGGGAATGATTTTTTAAAAGTGTTTGTGTGTTTTTTGTTTGTTTCCAATGACTTGACTCATCATAGACACTCTTGGTAACGTCAAGTTTTAGTTCCACCTGTGCTGGAGAATCCATCTTATTCTACCATTTAAATCAATGAAGCAAGTTTTCCTTTATAATCTAAACAAGGTGTTTGGATGATTCTATGTATGGTGTGGTTGTGGTACTATGGTACCCTCTTGCTTATGCCATTCATAGAACAGGCTGCATTAAATGTAACTTCAGTACAATTCTTTCTTAAAGGTCACATATTATACTCCTTTTCAACAAGTTTTAATAAGTGTCATCGAGCTCCCCAAAACATTTCTGTGAAGTATTCCTGATCCTGTATTTGATCATGTCTATAAAGCCCCAACATCGCAGATCTCTCGTAACAGAGGGGAAAAGACATAAAATATACATTCAAGTCTAAAAAAACCTAACACCTTTCTGCTGTGTCATGACTTGGAGTTATGGGAGTGTGACGTGATGCTGCTGATTTTATCCTCAATCGACATTTTACTGCAGACAGCTGTACTTAGAAGCATCGCTGACTGACAGAAACACAGTGCTGTATGCAATGTTGGTGTGTGTGTGTGTGAGTGTGTGTGTGTGTGTGTGCTTCACCTGTTTGTGCTGACACACACACAGAGACAACCATTTTGCTGTTTCCTTTTTCCCATCAGCCATTAATGAACCACAAGGCTAATTGAATTAGATACAGAATAAACATGTGGACTCCTACACTCTTTCATTGGAAACTCCACTTCACTTGTCTAGTCTATTGTCTTGTATATCTGAGTGTGAGTGTGTGAGTGTGCATGTGTGTGTGAGTGTGTGTGTGTGTGAGTGTGTGTGTGTGTGTGTGTGTGTGTGTGTGTGTGTGTGTATGTGTGTGTGATAAAGAGACTAAAAAAGAATCCTTTAATGTGATAAGGGGTGAAAGTCCAAAGTCACACAGCTAATTGCAGAATCCACTTATCTTACCTCTGGTGCCACTTAACTTTGGAGATAGCTGCATGTGAAATATTGTCATGACAACACATAAGTAAACCTCCATAGTGAGGGAGACAGATTGAGGGCCCATAAAGACTTGTTCCTGGAGTCATAACTGAGTGACTGGTCAAGAGGAAATTCTAACTCCATCAAAAGCTGCTCAAAAAAAGCAATGAAATCTGATTTGTTTTTTTCATTTTCCTGCAAGTTAAAATGTAAGTAATTTGTTGTCTGCATTCATTGCATGCTTCCTTTACAATTGGCAGAGTTAATTTACGAAAACTGAAATCACATCACATGCATTATTTGTCAAGTGAAATAGAACATCCTCCAGCGTTTCAAAACACACAAAAAACATGTAATATTAAGAAAACGCAAAGAAGATTGGTTCAACAGAGGGAAGTTTTTATAACCTCTATATATACAACCAGAAATATAAATTGCAAAAAACATGAACAAAAATAATCAAATATTGATGATGGGTCATTTTAAACTGCAGTTTAAAAGAATAGAGGTTTTAAGCGGATGATTGCAATAGAGGATACAATGAATTTGAATGAAATGAATGACGTAAGATAGATTGGGAAAAAGTCAGAAAGACGGAGAAGAATAGGACTGATAGGATGACGAGAAAGTTAGACGAATATAAGAGAGAGAGAAGCAAGTAAAAAGAAAAGAAGTGACACAGAGCTAATGCTTCTCCAAACGAGTATTAAAGTATTAATGAGTCTGTGTTATGTCAATCCCCATTGGTGGATATGTTGAAAATCAAGCCTGAAAATTTAAATTCCAGTGTAATTTTTTTCCGCCAACAGCAATCATGCAGCATGTCAAAGAAGATAGTTAGTGCTTTGAAATGTATTTCTCTGACACTTTGTATCATCCTTCCTCTCCTCTTCAACTCTTCAATGCCATGTTTCTAGTCTTCCTTTTCTACAGGTTGACTAATAGTTCTAAAAGGTTGGTACAAAGCAGTATGAGCTCACTGCTATCAGCTGTGCAGACAGGATTTATTTCAATGTCATGAAGTCTGATACACAACATGCTGAATGGGATGAGCTGGCAGGGAAAGAATCACAGTGATGCTACCTTAGCTTATGTAACCATTTCATGAAGGTTCAGTGCTTTCTGTCTGGAGTGTCAAAGCAAAGACATGAATGAGGAGATGTTGCATTGATTCATCTGTGACGGTGAAGTCAAGTGTAACCCACTAAGACACACTCAAATAGAGAAGACAAGGTGAGGGCAAAAGTGTTGCTCTCATTTATAAAATACCATTTCAATCTTTGAAATAACAAATCTGAATAGTTGTTCACACTCACTTCTAACTAGTGAAGCATCATCTCCTGACAAAATGCACATGCACAGCTTGAAACTCATCGTCTGAAAGTTTTCTGTGGACACTGGACCACCTACAGTACCAACGATAAATGGAGCAGCACAGAATAAAAAGCTGATTCCAAAGATTGACAGCAAGTCATGCAGCATTTTACTGCACTTTGAGTTGTGTTTTCTTCTCTGGTGGTCAAAGAGGGCTGGACCGTGGTAACAGAGAGAAACAAAGGATGGAATCCAGGTGTTTTGTAACACAATATGACAAGAGCAAGTTAGACTGTCTTTAAAAGAAGAAAATACGTTTTTAGAAATTGCACTTTATCCACTCTTTGACTTTCTAAATACCGGGGAAAACACCTGTGAAGATGTTAACTTTGCTGCCAGGAGCTTCTGTTTAAAAACTGTATTACAGATCCCGTCCTTGACCTTGTGGGCTGAACAAATAAAATGGACCTTCAAGATTCACTTTAATACATCCACTGTGGCTGTGAGATGAAACCCGTAAACACTCATTATTGGCTTCTCTGTAAGCCTCAGGTTTTGCAGCCAAACCGATCATCTGTTTGTTTAAAGCATAAAATAAATATCATCAACTATTCATCAGGAGAACAAGGTGTTATGTTTGGCTCGTACAAATACTGAAGGCTGCCAGGGCCTAAACAATGGGCACAGTGTGTTTGGTGATATTTAGACAGAGATTTACAGTGCTGTGGGTACAGATGAGATTCTTGATTAATAGTGTCCTTGGGAGGGTAATGATGATTGGAAATAAATTGAGTTGTTTAAGTCTAAATTGCAGATGAGTTTGGACTTGTGTAAGTTATTGTGAAACAAGAGGAATCAATCAACATCTGAATTTATGATTTTTGATGTTGGGCCACACACATAAGTGGTGCATTGTCATTGTAACAACAACTAAGAAAACTGCAGTCGTGGTCACAGTTACTCATTTATAGTATAGTATATCACATATCCTGACTTGTGTACCACAATCACTACCTCTGTCTGTTTAGGACAGCTATATGTCAGTAAAATGGTTTAACTTAATTATTGGTTTGTACTTTTAAGAGGCAGATTGATAATTGTACTTAAGTTAGATTATTTAAGCTTAAAAGCACTGAAAAAACAGATAGTGAAAGTACAAACTTGGTGTCAAAAAGTTGGTCATTCAAAAGACACAATTATGATAAATGCCGGAGCAGTACGTTAGTAAACCTATCCCTCTTTGTGTATTTTCAAAGGGGTACTTTAGTTTCCAGTTAGTTTGGTTAAAGTTAAACAGTTTTATTCTCGTACATGGAACACATACAGAACCATAAAATAATAAGCACTAGGACAAGTATCATGGCCCTTTAATCATCACCCCATTAGTCAAGATTTCATCCAAATGACCTTGGCCTTGCTCTGAGAACATATTTCATAAATTAAAGAGTAAAATACTCATGCGGCACATCACTAAAAAAGTGATGAATGGACAAAGGGTTTGATCGCCTGCATTTCCAGAGAAGTGGCTCATGCACCTCTGCCAAAACACAAATGAGGAAAACTCTACAGTAGAGACAAAGACACCCACTGTGGCTTACAAAATCAAATCCCCATAACACAAACCATACACAGAGTTTTTGAAGACTTTATAAGGGAGCAGAGGTAACCTTTATTTCCACTTATGTCCTATGATGTATCATGGTGGTGTTACATTCACCACTCCAGCACTGTAACTTCACACAACTCACTCGGCAAATTCAAATCTCACTGACTTCTTTCTCCCACACTTGCTTACATTCCTCTTCCTCTGTCAATCCCTGCCTTCATGCTTCTTTCAGCCTTTTTACATCCAGTAGATTCTGTACCTGCCACCAATACTAGTACACTGGTCGAGTGAGCTATTTAGACAGACACAGGACTTTCAACAATACCCAAGTGAGATCAAGTATGATTATGAAAACACATGTGCCACAATTAGTTTTATTTCATATAAATTATTTTTTAATAGTATTAAAGACGTATACTCTGTATGCTTTTAAGTTGGCGAGCAACTGGGTCCCAACAGTAACACTGACATTCAATGTGGAGTCAAGACAAGAAAAATCATAATGTTAAATAAAAAAAACTCTGAACCTTCATCAATTTCCCAGAATACACCTCACCAATAAATCCTTGAAAATTCAAAAATGTTGGTTATTTATTGTTAAGACAATGGAGCGACACATGAGAAAACTATGAGGAGATGTATGATGTATGAATCAAAAGCA